CGGCTCTTTCCTAATGTCGTTGTCCACCTCGCTGATGCCAGAAGGGGAAAGTGTTGACGTTATCTTCGAAGAGCTTCGCGACACCGTGGACGAACTTGGAGAAGCGCGGCGATTCCTTGACAAGATGCGAGTGCATCAGGTCCTCAATCCACTCATACTTCTTCATGCCCTTGACTTTAATTTCAAGTAGCGCGTATGGGAACTTGTGGATTTCGCCCTTCTTGATTGCCTTGAATGGGAATTCCATCTGAGCGTTGTCGATGTCTCGCCTGTGCCAGTCATCCGGGTCGCGGCATGGCCTGTCGAGATCTAGCGCATCTTCGCGGATGAGGGCGAGGTTGGTGTCTAGAGAGATGCGAACGCGGTCGTCGCCGGGGATCTGGAAAGCGGTGCGGGTGTAGTTGGCGCGGACCATGGGCTGTAGCTTCTGCTCCTTGATGAAGCCCTGGATGTCTGTAACAGCCTTCTTGAAGTTGTCAAGCTTCTTCTGGTCCTTGTTCGGCCGGTACTCCATCTTCTCGATGCTCTTCTCCATGTGGTAGTGGTCCTCGAGGAAAGACTGAACGTATTTGGCCTTGATTGGGAAGCGGACCTCCTCGGCCGCATCACCCTCCTTGATGACCTTCTTCTCGAATACTATCTCGGGCTTCTCATTGAGATGCCCGTACCACCTTAGACGTAGTGAAGCCGCATCGGGCTTGCCATTAACCTTGTCCGTGTACAGCGAAAAGTTGGGATTGTCGAAGTAGATGGAGGTGATTGTTGGGTCACGCTGGGTGCCCTCGGCGACCTTAGACGTCTGAGGGTTGTATACGAGGACGGGAAGACGGCGGAGGATGACGGTCTTGACTTCGAAGAGGTTGTCCATGTGGACCCAGACTGAACATGTTAGCTTGTGCATGTAGTTCATCCAGCATGCAACATACACTTGTAGGACGTGAAGTCCTCGCCCACGGCGTTGCTCTCGTCAAATGACAAGGCCTCCTTAGATTTGCCCTCCAAGCTCTGTCGCACAAATGAGTACAGCGCAGACAGTCTGTATAGCAGTGGCGAGGCATCTTCCGTGTGCAGCGGGTGGCTGGCAATGCGGGCGTCGATGAAGGGACGCAGGCGGTATGAGGTGCCGCGGATCTTGTCGTGCTTCTTGGTCGCCTTAATGACGGCGGTGAAGTTGATTCTACTAAAGGCCTCGAGCTCCTTGGTCTCCTTTGTGATGTTGTCCAGTTCGCTCAACACCTCCTTCAAAAGCTTCTCCCGTTCCTGCTGGCTAGGCTCGGGCTTCCTCGTCGCATCGCCGGCGTCGGCCGACGCGCCTTCAGGCTGGCTGTCCTTGTTCTCCTTGTCATCCTGAATCCCTATGGCCAATGGTTCAAGCTTCTTCTCGCACGCCGAGGTCCGGTCGCGTAGCTTCTGCGAGATGTCGGTGATGAAGTTGTGCACCTTTTCGAGCTGGACGTTTGCAAGCTCGTCGACAAACGCGCTCTCGTCGTCGGCTGTCCAGGAGTCGTCGTCTTCGTTGTCCTTGAGCAGCTTCTTAAGCTTATCGTAGTCGATGTACTTGTCCTTCCATGGCGCATACACGCTCTTGCGGAGTGTCGTTCCAAACTTCATGGCTTAGCGAGCGTGGGGATGGTGAATGAATGAAGCTTGCAGTAACTACCGGAAGCAATAGCTAGGGAATAAGAAATACCCGCGCCGGAAGGCTCTGCATGAACTTTCTGAAGCCTGAAGCTGGGTCTAGCTGGTGGGGATGCTGGTTTAACGGCCAATGCCCAGGAACTTTGAGCGCACGTGTTTCGCGAGCCGTGTAGCGTCATAGCTGCGCAACTTTCTTTCCCGCCCCGTCGCTCTTTGCCAAAAACATCGTCTTGATCATGTTCGTCTCATCATCCATGTGCGACACAAAAAAACACTCTTGTCGCAGTTTCAGAATGTTGTTGGACCTGATCAACGTGTCGGCGCAACTATTCACGTAGCATCCGCGAGTCATTCACGCCAGGAAGACCCACGCGTGCCACTGCATCGCGCCGACGTTAGCTGCCGAGGATAGCCCCATCTGCCTGAGCTTAGTAGACTTGTTGTTGTTGTTGTAAACAGTGGCCGTGTGTTGGGATGGGTCCTGTTCTTCTCCGCAGAGGATTAACATCTTCATCTCGGAACCTGGGGTCGATACGTATTCCAACCACATGCAACACCTTTGTAAATATCAACTGTCCGCGCATGCGCCTATCTAGCCAAGCTACAAACCCAACCCATCTCATTTACCCTTCCGTCAGCTTCCGAATAAGCTCAATAGCCCCCGGTGTCTTGATCCAGGCATTGTAGCATTCCCTCAATTTACTCTGCATCTCCCCCTCGTCACCCATCCCGTACTCATATGGAGTGACTGTAAAATGGTAATATGGTTTCAAGAGAGCGGGCCAGAAACGCTTGTTGATGCGCTTCACCGAATCGTATAGTTTTTTTATCTGCCTGTCGAGCTTCTCAATGTTCGCCTTTTGGTTCTGCGCGCTCATGATGACGAGGTTGCCGGTGACGATGGGACTCATGTAGGTGGGTGAGGTACCGTTGAGAGTCAAGAGTATACGGATCTTGACCAACGTGACGGCGACGACGTGGGAGAGGTCAGAGAAGCTCGGCACGTTCTTGTTATTAGGATTAGGCCTGGTGAAATTCCTGACCCTCTCGAAAGCATCGACGGGCTCGAACGCATCTGTATTCTTCATGATGAGCTGGGATGGTCGAGTGTCCCTCCAGTCGTAGTCGTAATCGTGTCCGACCGTCACCCACCACTTGCAGAAAGAGTAGCACCCCTGGTCTCGCCCCAAGCGGAGGAAGAGGGTTGGCACGCAGCTGCGTACATACATGTTGTCCTGGGGATTCAGGCGAAGAAGGTCGAGCGCATGGTCCAGAGCTGCCTGTGCAGCTAATTTGGTGTTGATCTTGCCCAGTGCACTAATGAGCTCGTTCCTTGACTTCATGTAGTTCCTTGTCCTCTAGTATCCCCGGAATTTGCCCACAGCCGTCTCGAACGCCTTGGGTGGTGTATCCACATCTCCCGGGTGTGCCCTCAAAGCAGCTTCGTCTTTGCCCATGACGAACATGATATTCTTGATATTCTTGCACCATAGCTTGTGTCGTGGTCGGTCGGTAGTTTGGTGCTCAGGGCCGCAGTAGTAAACTACTTTGCAGGCGCCACAACGGCTAAGGTTGGATTGTCGGGGACAGGTGTGGCATCCTGTTATGAGACCCTGAGAGATGATGAAAGGCTCTGGTGGACCATATTCAACACCCGCAACTGGTCGTTCCAGTCGGGGTTCCGAGCCTGCTGCAGCAGGGCGGTCACGAAAGCCTGCTGCTTTCGCGGCGAGATATTCGTCGATTGACGCCCGGTCTGAGTGGAGATATTGTCAATATTGGATGTGTGATGTTTTACACCGTGGCTTGCCATCCTTAGCGCATTTTTGGAGGTACGACACAAGATCCATGATGCGGTGTATTTGCGTCGAAAACAGGTTGAGATGAGACGACGGGATAAGGAAGTTGCGGACGCATCAGTGCGTGGTAAGAAATTTTAGATGTGCGGGGTTGCCTCTTTGGCCGAGCTATAGGCCGAAGAATCAGCCCAGAACTGATTCAGAATTGATTCGTTGATATTTGAAGCAAATTTGATGAACATTTGTTGACCATTTGATGAACATTTGTTGGTGATCTGTGCGCTGATAGTATACAACCAACACTTCATCTTGACCATATTAACCAATACACTACGAATCTAGAAACTGCCGATTTGAATAGTTATAAAGCAGTCTTGAGATTCATGACTGTAGCAAACATCAGTGATCTTATGCCACCCATTCCTCTTTCATCAAGCCACTGCAACACCATGACCTTGAACCCACTAGGGCCCTCCCACTCCACACTTACGCCACCCTTACGCTTCAGAGTTTCCAGGCTCTTCTCGCTGACTAGTCCTTGGTGGTACCGAACTTTGCTCTTGTCAAGACCCCCTTGGTTGATCTTCCGCTCCTCGACCTCGCGCCAAGCAGCAGCAGTGAGCGACGCCAACCAAGCGCTGTTACACAGAGTGAACGCATTTCCGATTGAGTATTCACGACTCAAGTTATTTAGATAGCTGTTAAGTTCGAAGCGAAGTTCAGCGTCGCAGTAGAGCCCTTGAGATTTCTGGTCTTGGGCAAGAAGTCCACGAGAGACCCAGACAAGGTTATACATGTCGCGCAGACAGTGGTTGAATGCATCTGTGACTTCTGTTGAGTAGTATTTCTTGATTGGCTTTGGGTGCGCATCGAAAGCAGACTTGTAGGCGCCGATAATACCGCATATGCGGGAGAGAATAACCGAAGACGTGTCTTGGGCGAGGAGATACACAAGATGCATCGGTGGAAGTATGATCGGGATAACGTGTGGTTTTGAGGAGGTGCTTAGTAGCTCGTAGAAGGAGAGGATAGCCGATTTGAGTCCGACGCCTGAGTCTTGCGGTACTGACAAAAGGGCTGAGGTGAACAACGTGGATACATGCGCCACCAAATCTCTCAATACCTGCTGAGCAGTATCGATACGGTCAGGTAGCTTCATGGATGTGTTCGATATCTGGTGTTGTAGCAGCATGATGTAAAAGTTGACGAGCTCTGTATATGCTGGGATACCCTGGGCTGATAGAGCTCGTTCGATAGGGGAGAAGTAGGTGGCTTGAATATCTTCAAATTCCTCAATCTCGGCATAAGACAGCAGTCCCAGAATCGTAGCAAGATGGTCTGGTCCATTCCAGATTAGTAGAAATTCTCGCAGGAACGCCAATGCAGTTGGATGTATTGACTGAAAACGGTTAGTAATGTATCGAGCCGCTATGGGATGCACTCACCTTAGTATATTGTGCCCACGTCAATAGCCCATCAAGGACTTCGGAAAGATATCGATCATCCCTATCCCCTTGACGATAGAGATCGTATTGCTCCTCTAGACATGTCGAGAGCCAGATACCAATTCTGGCAATTGCAATCGGCGAAGGCTTTAGATCGACGTACTTTTGCAGTAGTGGATCCGCAAGCAGGGACACTAGCTGACCTGGGGGCTCAATCCTGTCAAGCTTCTCCACAAAATCGTCCACGTTATCGATGCCTTCTAAGGTTATGGATGCCTGCCACACCATGTCAACGCTTGTCGCTCTTGGTAGCAATTTGACGTACTTCAGTAGCATGGTAGGTGTGGACGTCGGGGATAGCCGATCCTTTGCTACCTCTAGGTCCCTTTCGTCGCACCTTGAAGCCATTCTGCACGTCTGCCGTAAAGTCGTCTGCTGCTGTGCTATTCGCGTGAACTGCGGTGATCCTGGCCCGCCATTCATCATCCGGTCGCTTTTCCGTTAGTACATGTTCAGCAGTACGACAATGAGCTGCGGGGAAGGCACAACAGAGATCTGAGGTTGCATTTGCGGTAGTACAAGGGACGGATGCTTACCGGAGCGAACGACTTCCGGCTCGTCGAGGTACTTCCAAGAATTATATCTGGGTAGTAGTCCTTGTACACGCGAAGAAGCCCTTGAAGCGCAGGCTCATTGCTTAATCCACGGGAGAGCTCAAGTCTGCGTCAATTAGTGGCTGACGGCGGATAGCTCTCTTTTGAGCAGTATATCCATACGTACAGCTGCTGTATCCGAAATGGCTTGACATGCTTCCTGCGGGTAATCAAAGACAGCAGATGACACAAGGATGTCCTTCTAATCTTAGTACCCATGTGGTCGAAATCTGACTGGGTTGACGCACCTGATACTGATCATATCAAGCATACCGAATAGCACTCCATACAGACGAGACAAGACATTAGGGTCCTCGATGATCTCGTGGACCGTTATAAGCCATTTTACGAGGCTATCTTGCGTACCAGACGAAGGCTTGCCCTTGCCCTGCCCAAGAGCGCCCACGACAGTGATGACAACATCGCTTGGGATCCTTTGGGAGGGGTACAAGTTTTTGACAAGAGTAGTGATTGTCGTTTGGTCTAACAAAGTCTTCACAGATGCGAGTTGCACAACCTCACGAAGCGCATCTTGGTCAAGCCCTTGTTCCAAAGCGTACCGGCAAATGACATGGACTATGCTGGAGACTTTGATAGTCCGTTGCTTTGCGGTTGTTCTAGATGCTGTGAACCATGGTCAGCGCTTTCCGTGACTGGACGGACTGAGCAGCCGCATAGCAACTTGCCTTCATGCAACAAGTTTAGCGTCTCCTGCAGCGTGGGCCGCTCATCTGCGGCGCCGGTCAGTAGCTGGCACAGGGCGAGATCGAAGTGGGTTTACCGGTAACAGATGGCATCACGCTCTCAATGCAACACACACACACAGTAAGACCGAGGTCAGCCGTTAAAGGTGGCTTCAGTGTATGTAGGCGGGCGCGTCGTGATGGTTGTTGACATCTGACGCGCCTTGCCGCTTTGGACGGGAAGGAAACAAGCGAGGAGGCCGGGACCGCAAGCCAGGCTCGCACATGCCACACCTCCTTCACTCGCCCTCACTCAACCCTTCGTCATGCATCGCCAGTTAGTCGTCCATGGCAAGCCAAATCTGCCGCGTATGCATGCACAACATTGCGGCTGCCGGTCTGGCTATCCGCGGCTCGTTCACGCTACCTAGACTATTTTCAACCAGTCGTGCAGATGTCACCCGCATGGCCTTGCCGTCACTGGAACATGCACCGCAGCTCTCGACCCTCGCCACATTAAAGTCAACCCTTGGAGTTACACAAAAAAGCATTGAGCGGTCGTATTCTCGGCCTGCGCGGTCTTGATCGGTCTCGAGTGGCAGGTCGCCTTACAGGTCAGCGATCAACTTGAGCATGCCTGCTGCACCTCCACTCGAATCGTACTGACCCCCGCGTGCTGTACTCCCTGACTGATGGCGTATATGCGGCGGGAACCTACCTAAGCTACCAACCCGGCCAGTCTCTGGTCCCTATAACTCGAGTAGTCATAGGTTCACTGCATCCGTTTCCGGTCAAGGATCGCCCTCTATTTTGAACTTGTACCAATACAAGAGCGCCTCGGCCGATCCATTGGATAATTCGCTACTATTGCGATTTTCACCTAGCATATGGTGTTTTATTGGCCTGTATCCATCTGCCGGTACACGATCCTGCTGCTATCCGATGCAACCGTCGTCATGCGGTTAAACGCTTTTTGAACTACTTACCCACATGCACCGCCGCCGCAGTACTTCAGTCGTGGCCGTTGACTGAGATCGTATCCACTCGGAACCAACTCCGCCTGGTACGGCCTGGCTTAATGCACGCCGTAACCGCATGGCCAAGGTCTTGTACTACATATTTCTTCTTTGATCTCGTGCCACCTCAAACATAAATTTCAATAACCGACTGTAGAGCTAGACGTTGCGGTGAACCGGCCCGTATGGCTTGAATGATGCAGGCAACATCAGTTTGATCGTCATTCTAGCTACCAGGGCTCTATATCAGCATATCTTCCAACGACCTCTGGAACGGCCGCGAAATCTGGTAGCTACATCGTTACCTTGCCATTTTGATATCCAAGAAACCTCACTAGTAACATCTTACTCTACCCCGGTTGCCTGTAACGGTTCCATCCGTCTCACGGGTAGCATCCTATCTTATTTTTCGACCCGAGGCCTCAGACTGAGCTGGAAGCGAGATTCGATTCGAAGCAGAAATCAAAAGCTGGACGTTGGTCATCGATGCACTTGCGATCCCCCGTCCTATTAACTTCTTGGTTCGAGATCTTACTTGGGTTGACCAGTACATGACAATGGTCGGACGGAAGAGCCAGCGCGTCCATATGACACCACAGGCACCGAGCAAGTCTGCATTGACAGCACAACTCCAAAATGCCCCATCCTCCGGTAATGCAAAACTCTTGCGCTGCCCAACGAACACCCTTCAACGACTACGATGCCTCAATGAAGCCGAGATAATCACATTATTCACTCCATTCGTACCTCATTCACCTTCTACCACATTGGCCAAGAACATGGACCCATTCGAGCCTTTAGGTCGAGCACTACCACGTCAAGTGCGGCACGTCCCGTACCGTCTCGACTACGGTATGACTGAGACGCATGGAGACTTCCTTCGGGCATGCGGAGCGGTCGTCATTGTCATCTGTACCACTGCCAACGTTCTCAGTCACGACACTCAAGCATTTGAGCGACAGTTGAAGTTCGCCCGAGATATAACGACACAGACTAAGAAAAACGCCATAACAGTGGGTATTCCAATCATTCTGCTTCTGGTCGCCGACGATGCTATTGCGCAAGCCTACGCCAATGCCACGTACGATTTTCCAACTCTGGTTACCATCAACGACTATAGCACTGCGGCGTTGGTCAATGCAGTGCGGGTTCTCTTCGGGTAGTAAAGATAGGGTGGATTGTGATTATTACGTTACATTTTTCTTGGTTTTACATGTCCAATCATTTGCCTCTCGTTTCTACATGGCATTTTCTGGTGGTGCGGCTATCATCCTTAAGTTGGCGGACGTTCTCCTTCTCGCAATCAATCAAGCATTAGGTGGCTTGAGTCAGATCTTGAGGACGTTTTGGTTTTTCATATACCTCCAATTGATCGATGTAATGTATTGTGGAAGTCAATATACCAGCTAGCCCCTGGATGTGCTATATTTTTGGTCGTCATGCACGAGGAATACGTTACCCAAGCTTGAACATGGTAATGGATGTGATAACATGGCATTAACATTAGTATGGTATCTCTGCTGTGCACAAGGCCCCGAGCTGAAGATGATGCTTGCAAATACGCTCCAATAACGCCAGCGTCCTTCTATACAATTGAACCAAGTCTTGATAACAACACCGAATATACAACAGGTTGAAGAGATAGCATAATCCACCTCCCCAACCACCAGGCTCTCCCACCGCTTTCACATGCTACCCAGGACCAACCATGGGCGAATTTCCGAACACCCACAGACCCATTATCCCCATTATACATTCTCTGCGCCCTTATAATTCCCCCAACGGTGCATGTGAAGGGACACCCGACTCAGCCATCGGCGGCTGTCCCATCTTCTGCGCCCCACTCGCAAGCGTCTCCTGATGCCCCGACAAGTAATAAAACATGCGATTCGCGATAATAGTAAGATGTTCCGGTAGATACAACGACGCGGCGATAATAAGGAGGGAGAGAAGAAGGAAGAGCACCGAATCTGTTGCAACCACATTAGCCATTTATTGCGTGCGAAAAGCGAAAGGGGGCCTTGTCTCTGCGAATAGCGGAAGCGCAGGAAAAGGCTGTGATGCAAACGTACTGAAAATAAACTTTTCCGTAGATGTCAACATGTACAGGGAGAAGGTGACTTCGTATTGATAGCGCTTACGCTGGAACCAGCGTAGCAGGGCGGACGGGTACAGCATGGCGGCGAGGAGGAGCGCGGATGCAGAGGAGAGGAGGATGACGGTTGCGAGGACGGTAGAGTCGATCATGTAAAAGTCGTTGATTGTATGTTTAATTTGGGGAATTGCGTGGTATTTTGCGGCGCAGGGATAGGGCTGCGGTAGTTCGAAGAGGCGCAGTCGCGTGGGCTAATGGTGCGCGGGTTGCTGTCGGGTTGCTGTTGTTGGTGATGCGGGAGATTGAGGGTTCAGGGACGGGGTTGTGGTGTGGATTGGGAGCAGGGATCAACGTTACGGGGATTGCTCCCGAGTAGTTTGTTCGAGAAAGTGCGCGTATCTGCCAACAACGATGCAACTTTGAAAGCTATCACAACGACGACGACAACCCGCTCCTCCGCGTCAATGCTATCACGATGCACCCATCACTTCACCTCCCGCCTTGAAACTACCTCCACGACTACCATGCGCATCTTCGCCCGCCTTCCCCTCCACCGCCCGCTACACACATCCCACCCCCTCCTCTCCAAATCCCTCCCGCCCCGCGTGCCCCTCCCCGACTCAGACCTCATAGAAAACTTCCTCAAAGGCTCCGGGCCCGGGGGTCAAAAGATCAATAAAACATCGTCAGCCGTGCAGCTCAAGCACATCCCCACAGGCATCGTAGTCAAGTACCAGGATACGCGGTCGCGGGAGATTAACCGCAAGATGGCGCGGCGTATACTGCAGGATCGCATTGAGGAGTTGCAGTTGGGGGATGAGGCGAGGACGAGGGTGAAGGCTAGGGAGAAGAGTAAGAAGAAGGCTAGTAAGGCCAAGAAGGCAAGAAGGAAGTATAGGGCGTTGGAGGAGGGGAAGGCTGGGGTTGAGGGAGAGGACGGTGAAGATGCAGAAGGAGGGGATTCGGATGGAGGGGATGTGGAGAAAGTTGAGGGAAATGTTGAAGAGGATGCGCTGGAGAAGGGTGGGGATGTGGCTAAGGTGGGTGGTTGAGGATGGGGAGCGTTGGGGTTTAGGATCTATTACACACATTATGAGTATACCAGGCTGCGCTCCAAGAGGTGGGCCGTTGCGGCTCCAGGGACCAGCTGCGAGACTCCTGTCTGCAACGCCTTCTCGCAAAGTCAGGCGAGGACCAGCGGTATAAGTTACGCATGAAAGGAGTAAAGAGTATGCTCAGAAGGGCATGTTCGAGATCCGGCAAGACAGTATCGTCTGATCATGGCTGTACTAGCCCGGAGCAACAGCGTTAGGATACGACACTTTTTTTCAGGTTATCATATCCTCGGAAGCCATGTCTGTTCACTCGGCGCATGGACTTGTTCCATGGTACGACACAAAGATACCACATCCCATTCGTGAGATCTCACGTCTTTCGCTATTTCTTGGGCACGGTGGGTCGCTACCAAACCTGTATGCGGAAGCGACGATATGTGGATTGTGACTGGTCTTGTGTTTCAGAATCCAGGGAGTCGCTGTAATCATTCGCAGTCATTATGATGTGGTAGTTCTGGGCGGGTCGGTGCGTCAGCTTTATCATGGTTACTTGAGTCGCTACCAAAATGACAGTGTATAGGGTTGACGCACATATATTCTCTTCCCCCCTCTCTCTTTTCTTTTTCTCTCTGTCTCTCTCCTTCTCCCCAAGACTCTTTCTTTCCATCCCAACACACACATACACACACTCATTCAAAAACAACGACACGATGGAGGACTCCTCCAGGACACCGTCGAGAATCCAGCCCATCTCACCATATCGCTATGTGTCGTACCTCGTTTATTCAGGCGCAGCTGTGCCATACCATATGTACACCAAAGGGGGACCTCTTTTGTTCCTTATTCTTTCAATCCTCTGGGTGGGTTATCAATTCGTCATTAGACGCAAGTACAATGTACAAGTGTCATATGCGCTTGCCCTATCACTATTGTCCATACTGCTAGGACCCGTAGCACACTGGCTGCCCGAATACCTCTTAGAACACCCCGCCGAGATGACCGAGCTCTACCCGTTAGCACTACATTTCTGTCTCATTTTCTTTGTCATATCGCATCTTGAATGGATTCGGCTGAGATTCGATATCAAGGATCCACAGGCCAGGTATCCAGAGACATGGCATATCATCTTCGCCTCGCATTACAGAGCTCGGTTGGAGACGATGCCCGTACAGCTGAAGGCAAATCGTGAATTGTCTACAAAAGCTTTTCTTAGGTTCCTGCGTCACAGTTGGAGAGCAATACTAGAAGACGTTGTATCTGGGGGCGGATCCCTGGTAACATACTACTCCATGAACATGCTCATACATCTCGTGGCCCAACCCAAACGCCTTCGTCTCAGTTGGTTGGAAGCACTGTTAAGCATAGAAGTCCTTTACGATTTGACTACGGTATGGTCCGTGTTCATCAGTTGGATTCTGCTAAGACCTGTTCGACTCGGAAACGCGCTTCTGTGGGAGTGGATCTTGAGGGCTTACGGAATTGAAACAATTGATGAGCAGAAATCAGAAGAGAAGCATGATTATTCGGACTACTGCAGGGTCGTGGAGTAGAGGGAGGGCTCACCTTGGCGGCGCATGTGCAAACCTTGTGCCAAGCCTGGGTGAAGGGCGCACTCACCTATGTTCAAAGAGCGCATTAATCTCGCAGGCTAACGGGATGTCATACTCAAGCTGGCAATTTATCCCTTGACGCTTCTTTCCTTGTGTCCACTTCTACCCTTGGCGATACGTTCGACAGATCTACCATTGATCTTCACCAGCTACTCTAGATACTAGTCGAATCATACTCTGCAGTTTCACCATGAAGGACCTTGTCAATGCGATCTCGCACCGCTTTCGTGGTCTGTCGAAGAGCCAGGCCGCGATCGGATCTCCTCCACCCCCTCCAATGGATGCACCCGCTACACCAGTTCGAAATGCAAACACCTCTCCCACTACCACGAACACATCGACTCCAGCGAAAGTGAATATGAGCCTATTGGACAAGGCTCTTCCCGCACTTCCAACATCAAGACCTGTCACGCTCGAGACCGAAGCTGTCAAGAATGACTATTCACTATTTGACATGGACAAGTTAGCCATCGAGCCAGAGCACCGTCAATGGTTCGCGGCCATCAACATCTCTATACGCAGGTTTGGAGAGACGATGAATCCATCGCACGACTACCAGCACGTCTGCCGCATCGTCTCCAACGCCGCTACAATTCTCCACAAAGAGAGTGAATGCAACGAATGGGCACGTAGCATCGACCCTTTATCTATCTGGGTCGCATGCATGATACACGACGTTAGCAATGACATATACCAAGACGCAGGAGAAACATGGTCGCAAATCGACATCATCGACGCCTTCCTCGAACCGCTCGGCTGTTGCGGAGCAAAAGGCTAACCTTCTACTCGCTTGAATAGAAGTCATCTTAACCGTCACACACCCCCCCAGATCGTAGCAATAGCGCAGAGCTGGTAGCTTTTCAAGGTTTTCATACATGTTGACCGCAGTGCAACATGCCCTGTATATTCTGCTCCGAGCATCTGGTATTCTACGTCCGTGGCCCTAACAGCTGGCTCCCAGCTTTGCAGCTGTCATGCGCAGTGTTCTTGGCTAATTGTGGTGTGCACAGCTCGCATGCGGTCACCCACCCTACCAGTAAACCACCAAGGTGTTACTGGGGCAGGATCAAGCGATCCCGGGCTCATAACTGTTGCGGAGCAAAAAGCTAACCTTCTACTCGCTTGAATAGAAGTCATCTTAACCGTCACATCGGCTGTCCAGCAGCCATCCGCTACCAGGCCGCTCAGCTAATCGCAAAGGTCCCATACACCATGGAAATCGCAGATGAAGAAGGCGTCAAGGCTTTCGCGGATGAAAATCACGCATTTTGCATCTTTCAAGACGCGGTTCGGCTGGAGGGACTTGGCGCGGTTGGTGTGAGCCGTTTCCCTCCATACGGCGACGGCAATAATGTTCGTAGTGACGAGTTGATTGGAAACTGGATTAGACCTGTTGAGGAGCGCTTCGCACATTATCCGCGTATGATGAAGACGGAGACTGGGAGGGAGATGGCGGAGGAGCGGTAAGGCGGATACGAGTAATGTGTAGGTGCTACGAATGGATCTGGATTGGGGACAAGGTAGTGGTTAAGACCTGGGTTTCTTCATGGCCTTGCATGTCTTGCTTTCGAGATCTTGAGAAGCGGCTATCGGAAGTTGTGAGTTGATCAAGTTTGAAGGAATGATTGCATTCCCACATACAAAGCAATACTACGCACATGGCATTGGAACTCCAACATACGCATGCAGCAAGTGGGGCAAGCTTAGTCATTGGCTTGTGCAACCAGGGCTCTTTCTCTTTCCGGAAACTCGCAGCGGTAATTACAAATTCGTGCATCATCATACATATTCACATGATTCTTGGATAGATCCATACTCTTTGACACCTGATGGATGGCATTGTTTTACTCAAGTCAGCTAGGTACATGATTTTAACGAGAGCTCTACCGAGCATTTTCACTTTTGCCTCTGCCTATTTAAACCAGCCGCCAAACGCTGAGTAGCTTCTGACATCCGCGGAACGCGACAAACCGTCCTTCTCTGTTAGATTAGTTACTGTTCATCAAGCTGTGCTGAGGGGCGATCTCACTACGCCGCATGCATGCCAATAAGCGCTAACACACAGGCGAACCTCGAGTAACACATAATGGGTAATCTTCACGGATGTAACCGTTAAAGGAAGCGGGGTTGAAGGATGAGTGATCACTGAAGCGATGCTGATTGTAGGAGATGCGAAGCGGCGAAAGCATCTGACGACAGCATGGAGGGGCAACAAGTTTCACTATATAATGCAGACTGAGACGTTCGGTATATCGCAGACATCTTCGCTTCTTCCTGTATTTGAATACTACCCTGCACTCCACTCAATCGGCAATGTCGAAGTACTTCCATCTTATCAACGAGGAGGCAAGACGTGGCCATCTCTGCTCAGTAGCAAGGCTAACCTTTACAGCTTATTGAAGGCTCCTCTTCTGAAAATTACACAGTCTACAACCCCGCAAACGACGAGATAGTGGGTGAGATCAACCTGGCCGATGCTGCCGAAGTTGATGCCGCCGTCGCTGCCGCCCGCGAAGCTTACGAAAATGGACCGTGGAGCAAGTTCAACGGGGCCCAGCGCGCCAAAGTAATGCTCAAGCTTGCGGATCTCATCGAAGCAAATGATGCCGAGATCACCAAAGCCGAAGTCACTGCAATGGGCCAGCCCACGTCTATCATGGGCGGCTGGATAGTACCTATGGTTGCAACAACATGGAGATACTACGCTGGTATGTGAACTGCGAGACAGAGGCGCGACTTTACTAATCTCGTGAATCTGCGTAGGTTGGGCGGACAAGATCGAAGGACAGACCTATCCCTTAGAAGATGGCGCTTTCAGGATAACTCAATACGAGCCCTACGGCGTTTGTGCGGGCATTGGTCCCTGGAATGTCTCTATCATGTATGTTGTACAGCAAAAGTCTGAGAGGAGATACTAACAAACCCAGGACCATGGCATGGAAGATGGCACCTGCTCTGGCAGCTGGCAACACCTTTGTCTTCAAAGGATCCGAGAAATCTCCATTCAGCATCTTGATCATCGCGCGCCTTTTCAAAGAAGCTGGATTCCCTCCTGGAGTCGTCAACATTATCACTGGCGCGGGAAAAACCGGAGCTTTGATGGCTGCACACATGGACATCGACAAGATCAGCTTTACTGGATCTGGTCTTTCAGGAAGAAAGGTCGTCGATGCAGCAAACAAGAGTAATATGAAGCGAGTGACGCTGGAGCTTGGGGGGAAATCCCCATCTCTAGTGTTTGATGACGCAGATTTCGATGCTGCTATTGCAGCGTAAGTGTTCTTTTTTCGCATAGCTAACGCAGCTGACATTCCTCTAGAAACTCACAAGGCTTCCTCTTCAACTCCGGACAAGCTTGCATTGCGACCTCTCGCCTATTCGTACAGTCTAACATCGCCGACAAGTTCATAGCAACCCTAAAAGCGCACTTTGAGGGTGCCGCTGGTATGATGGGCGACCCCAGCGACGCCAATACGAGACTTGGCCCACTAGCGGATACGAAGCAACTCGAGCGCGTTCTCGGTTACATCGAAACGGGCAAGTCGGAAGCGAAGCTGCTGGTTGGCGGTGAACGGAAAGGAGACAAGGGTGCCTTCGTCACTCCAACGATATTCCTGAACCCTGGCAAAGACAGCACGATCTACAGGGAAGAAATATTCGGCCCAGTGCTATCTGTATTGACATTTGAAGCGGAAGAGGAGGCTATCAAGCTGGCGAACGATACAAGTTACGGTGAGTTGACACCTTCAACGCTGGTGTGGTGACACATACTAATTCTTTTACCAGGCCTGTCAGCAGCCATATACACGGAGAACCTCGCGCGCGCGCTTCGCGTCTCTTCCAAGATCAAGGCTGGCACGATTGGTATCAACTCTGGATATGCACCAGACAACATCATGCCTTTTGGCGGCTACAAGCAGAGCGGAATGGGTCGAGAGTTGGGTAAAGAGGGCTTGTTGGCGTATATGCAGTCAAAGTCGATCAGGATTAAACTGTAAAACTAGTTTACCGATATCCGAGAATCGTGTGGTTACAAAAAAGTGTTAAAATACACCTTTAGTGTGCAGTCTGATCTCCTACCTCTGGACATGTTAGGACAGGGCTATAAATTGCTCTAATTATACCTCTTCTCTCTCTTCCACCTCTATCCCACAATATTATTTTCCAGATACCGACTCATCAAGCGACAACAACACTAACGAAGCCTTGAGCCATGAGCGACCCCATCAAGCCGACACTGGCCTTCTCAGAGAAGAGTAAGCGAATGCGAATCTCTTACGCCACCAAGAGAATCGAGAGACCCATACAAGAGGTATGGGCTGTATGGGGGACCTACATACTGTGGTAGAGGGATAGCCTCAATAGTCAGAAGAGAGGCTGCCGACCCGCAATCGGTAGAGAGTAGAGAACAAGAAGGTATCCGAACAATAAACGGTAGTATTAAGAATGGTGTACGATAACTGATCCGATGATATCGAGCTTCTCCTCGCGGAGTCGCCCTAAAATACTCAACCCTAGCGCCGATTACCTAACGCCGAACACGTGACAAGCTACTACACCACAATACATAAAACTGAAGGAGAATATCACCGATGCTATCTCTTCTCCCATCCGACGCACGAAGGGATCTCCTACAGGCTAGCCGACATTAGAGGCGATATTGACAAAGATACCTTGATTGACGAGTTGAGGGGGGTTGAGAGATGAAAAGACGAGGCCCTAGAGTTATGGATGAAGAAGTTTGGACCATCGACGAAGGCAAAAATCAGCAACGAGGAGATACCGGAAGCCCAGCAACAGTCAGCGAAGACAAGTCAGCCCGAAGAACCCCGACCTGTCGATTTGAAAGAGCTCTCTATGGTTTGAACAGACCCCGACAAATACTTGGGCGATCCTCAGCTTCATTACATAGCAGCATTGCTGCAAGAAGAAGTCGGGTCAAAGCAAACACCGCCATTCGATCTCATCACGAACATGCGCCGATCAATTTCTGAGCAGAGATAGGATCGTTCCGCCAGGGAAGCATGGGTTCGTTGGGTGCAGGCTCATGGCAAGCCCTCGCATGGACTTCACGAAGACGAGTTTGATTTGGTGAACACATATCTGCTTTTCAGTTCTACTATTTATTTTCATTTACTCTAAGCGTGAAGAAATCTGTGGTTAGGAAAGCTGCCTCGAGGGAGAAGTAGGCCTGAGACCAAGCTTATTCAGGGTGACGTGGTGTGGTAAAAGTCTGGACTCTTGTGCTTTGAGCAGTTCGATATTTTCATGGTTTATCGAGAGCAATGACTGCGGTTATCGATGGCATGGGTCGGTATGTTTCTGGCCAGGGATATAGCCGCCAAGGGAAGCATGGTAAAGGCTCCATAAGGCTTTGAGCAGGTAAAAGTTTGGGTGATTTTTTGAAGCTTCGTGTGGGGTAAGGTCACAGTCCGCAACAATCAATTAAGTGGGTCCTAGAAGGTTCAGATTGGATTGATTGATTGCCGCTTTAAGCCTAGTAGTTACCTATAGGAGTTTAAGCCCTACCTAGATAGGTAAGTGGGTCTAGGAGAGTGACCGGATTGAATTGATTGTTGCGGAGTCTAGGTAAGGTCGTCTTGCATGACTTTATATGGCAATCACTCTGTGGGTTCTTGGTCTTTGAACTTATCATAATATGCTTTGGTTTGGTATTCTAGTCAATCTAGTTATGGTTCACAATGGTGTTCATAGCTAGCCATGATATCGGTAACGTGAAAGCGATGTTGATGTTGACGAAGTGAAGGAAGCGTTCGTGTTTGTGACGTGAAGGAGGCGTTCGTTGGTGAAGTGATGGCGATGTTAATGTTGAAGACGCGAAGAGGGTGTTAGATGCTGATGAAATGAAGGAGGTGGTGTTGATGTTGATAGCATGAAGGATGCGTTCGTTGACGACGTGAAGGCGGCATTGATGTTGATGACATGAAGGCGGTGCTAGGCTTAGCAACGTAAAGTCGGTATTGATTTCAACGATATGAAGGTGATGCTAATCATGCCCATAACATACTGAATGGTGCGTTCGCGCATGGCTTCGACGTGGAGGATACCTTCATTCGACCATGAACTGATTGATGAGTCTCATGATAATCATGCTATTGTTAATGTCTATTGACTTCCTTCCTCTCCATGATCACTCTTATCTTCTCCATGTTTCGTGAAACTGCAATGACGTAACCATCGGTCTCAAATGCCCTAGGGTTGCCTCAGCCATGCATTGCGTTGAAGAGTCCCAATTCCTAGCCGCCAAGTCTGGAGAACGTTAACATGGGCGTTTATAGCTGATTGAAGTAAGCTATGCTATCGTTCATGTTGCGATGATATGGATGCTGGGATTTTGGAGAGGGGCTGTGCCCGGTGCCACGTAGCATTAGCCACCCTTTCTGATACGAACAGGTAGCGTGAAGAATATGTAGGTATCATCATATAAGTATCAGACCCCTTGAAGAAGGGCAACATCGCAATGGCTCTGTATGATGTAAAGTAGTAAACAACGTCTATGCAAGTAATGTCACTGCTGAAGCGCGGCAACTGCCCTCAGTTGAAGATATACTCTTCGATGACTCCTCATTTCTCATTGTGCCTTCGAGTATCATGGTACTCTCCCACAGGCGACCCAAAACTTCCGCTCTTAAACGAAAAATAAATATAAAAGATTACAGCTACAAGTCGACCCTGATCCAAGATTGAACGCCTCAACCAACCTCACTGCTGAAGCGGCAATACTCACTAACATTTCAGAGACGTCTTCGATGACGAGATAAGCGCCCATTGCTTAGCTTGCAGCTTCGAACGTGATGATGCGTTTTGAAATTCACAAACCTTATATGATTAGCTGCAAATCAAACTCTGATAAACGATTTCAGGAGTGCTGCTGCGTTGGTTGAAAGGTCTCAATGGTAAGTCTTTTCACAAGTAGAGATTCCTGTTTGACATAGTTTCCAAAGTTGTTTTCACGAGTCACTTTTGTGCTGCTGGGTTTTGTATTCTCAAATCAATTGAGTCGTCTATCATATAATCTATCCTCTAGTTCTCTAAGCAAAACACTTCTTACTGAGCGCCGATGATCCGGTGGGTGCATCCCAACTCGCTAGAGATACATCCGACCTCGACCTCTGGGGCTTTTCCGATCACCTTGCGCTCTCCCCTCGCTACTGGCTGAGCTACCTCGCCGTCTCTCTTTTGCTGACCTCCAATGAGTCCGCCAATGGTGACTACATCAGCGATGGCACCGACACCACCACCGATGCCCTTTGCTGCGTTGCCGAAGTTCTTAGCTACACGTGCTTCCCTCTTTTGCTGTTGCTGACCTCCAATAAGTCCGCCAATGGTGACTACATCAGCGAGGGCACCGAGACCGCCACCAACACCCTTAGCAGCACCACTCTTTCCGATGCGGGCGTCTCTCTTCTGCTGTTGCTGACCTCCAATAAGTCCGCCAATGGTGACTATATCAGCGAGGGCACCGAGACCGCCACCGACACCCTTGGCAGCACCACTCTTTCCGATGCGGGCGTCTCTCTTTTGCTGCTGCTGACCTCCAATAAGTCCGCCAATGGTGACTACATCAGCGAGGGCACCGAGACCGCCACCAACACCCTTGGCAGCACCACTCTTTCCGATGCGGGCGTCTCTCTTTTGCTGCTGCTGACCTCCAATAAGTCCGCCAATGGTGACTACATCAGCGAGGGCACCGAGACCGCCACCAACACCCTTGGCAGCACCACTCTTTCCGATGCGGGCGTCTCTCTTTTGCTGCTGCTGACCTCCAATAAGTCCGCCAATGGTGACTACATCAGCGAGGGCACCGAGACCGCCACCAACACCCTTGGCAGCACCACTCTTTCCGATGCGGGCGTCTCTCTTTTGCTGCTGCTGACCTCCAATAAGTCCGCCAATGGTGACTACATCAGCGAGGGCACCGAGACCGCCACCAACACCCTTGGCAGCACCACTCTTTCCGATGCGGGCGTCTCTCTTTTGCTGTTGCTGTCCTCCAATGATTGAACTGATAGTGAGGCCATCAGCGATGGCACCAATGCCACCAGCGATACCCTTAGCAGCTCCTCCCTTGCCAATGCGAGCCTCGGGGTCCCTCGTTGTAAGCGGCTGGGTGTTAACTTCGTCGATGGCGAGCTCGCTCCTGTTACTGTTAGCATACTGTTCCATATCATTCTCTAGGAAAACTTACACTTTGTGGTCAGCTTCAGCATGGCCAAGGATCGTATGAAGCTCAGTGGGCTGGGTGTTGGAAATGACTTGGGGACCGACGACCGGCGCGGCGTTGACACTCATGCCAGCAGTGAATGCCAAGATAGCTGCGATGGTGGAAGCGTGCATGTTGAAGGTGTTGAGGGTGTTGAAGTGGGGTGGGGTAAAGTGAAGTGGGAGTGAAGTTTGGTGAAAGATGTGAATGAAGATGGAAAGTTGAAGTGAAGAAAGTATCGGATCGTCAACCTGTGAGACCGTGATAGAATGTAAGTGGTGATGAGATGAGTGATGCTGTGTGATGATTTCCAACTGTCGTGTGGATGCTCATCTTTATATCAGTTGGAAGTGCTTCCTACAAGGACGAGAATAAGGCATCCGCTTGCCAAGTACCTAGCATTGTTTCGACGAGATAGCTACCAAGCGCAGAGCATAAACACCGATTCTCCCACATGTCCCAGCGTCAGCGAGAACTACTGCATGATGGAGGAGGCTCTTTGCCAAATTCGTGGGGTTAGCGCTTGGCGGGGACGTCACCAGATCGATGACAACGGCGTGTGTACTGCATTGCCTGAGCACGAACGTTGCTTGTCTAGCGACCCCAGTGCGCGACGTGGCCGGCATGAAGCGGTCATACTTTGACACGCGCGCGCTAGTGGACAGTCATACTAAACAAGTGCAGGCATGAACGGTTCGGTCGCCAAGACACAGCTGTCAAGGCTGTCAAGAGTTTCGAAGCCTTTTCAAAGCCCGTGCGCGCACCGCATTTAGGCCTCGGCACTATACTCTAACCCCAAACAGTCTGTGCGTGTTTCCACTACACGTGCCTTGGCAAGCTGGTTTAACTTAGTAAATCTGGTATAACCCATACAAACCCATGGTTCGCATATGGCATGTCCTATTTTTGCATTGATGTTTGTCTATCCCCGCGACGTTGTTTAATCAACATCTGAAAAGATCGGTCTATGCAACGGCGACTTGGGGAAACATTAGCGTTAAACTTATTGTCTTTATTTCATACTGGGCTTTACGGCTGGTACGCGTACGATATGCGGTTACGAAGCAATGGCTATAGAATAGCGATGCGAGAACACCGTAGGTCTCTACTGGAAATCTTATATAGTTGGCTTCGCTGTCCCTCTTTTGTTTTCTATTCATTTCCCATCGACCTTCTCCCCCACAACCTTCTCCACTTCTTCTTCTTCTTCTTTTTCTTCTTATACATCTCTTCTCAAGCCTGGTTGCTAAGATGCAGTTCTCTTCCCGTACACTTCTGTTGGCTGGCCTTTTACAGTCTGTACAAGCCATGGACAGTCTTGCGGTGGAATTCAACACCGCAGCTGCCAGTGGCGGTGCTGCTGGTGTTCTTGCAGAGCGTAAGTTGCCATCTAAGCGGTACATGGAACAACGATCCTAACATGTAGAATTCTAGCCGCCGCAGGTTCCGGTTTGGCTGTGAGAGTTGGAACTGAGAAGATGCTTCCCGGCTCCTACACACTTGTTATATCTGGGGAAGGCTCTCGAAACGGCACATGCAACCCATCGTCAACGACTGTTTGCGTTATGCAGCCGGGTCTGATATCCTCCTCTCAGCAGACCATGCTCGCTGGCAAGATGGTCTACGAGCTTGTAGACCCGACCAAGCCCGCCTCCAAGGTAGCTTCCGCTGCCGAGTTGCCAACCGGCAATCTTGCTCTACTGAATGGCTCCACACAGCTTCTTCTCAACACAACGGATGGCCAACCTCAGGATAAGGCAATGCTGCTTGGGGGGTCGTTCGCTAGCCAACATACCGTCGCAAGCAACGTGTACAAAGCATCAGACCACAAGGCCTCAGGACTATTGGCAAGGGAGATTCCTACAAGGACTTTGATGGAAAGATCGCGCAAGACCCGGAGGCCTAAGAGGCCGGTTAGGAACATTACCTTGAACATGGATCACGATAAGGAAGATGAAAACCACAGCGAGTTACTCCAGACCACACCTCTGATTTGGATCTTTGCAGCTCTTGCCATAGGTATAGTTGCTTAGATAGGACAACGTGGAGCTACGAGAGTGTCATAGTGTCATATACGTGGCGGGACCTTGGTATATGTGCCAGTCAGTCTGTACGCAAAGGGTTCTTCCAATCAATAAATAGATAGCAAATCCAAAAAAAAACTTGTGGTATCGTCCACGCCAAACTGTTGCTTGTCTAAAACTTCAAGGTGACCAGAAGCAATTTCTCGCAAGTCATTCGGCTGGAACTCTTCTTCGCAACAACCATGCTAATGCTGTTCATGTTACTGTTGTGTGGTGACAGTCGCAATTCGGCCTACATCTCTTCTGCCTCGCCCGTCTTTCCTCCCAACATTCGCTCGGCGGGATATTTTGCGATCGGCTTCACCATCCAGAGTCCCTTGGCTTCCCTCTCATATACGATCGTACTGGATCCTAGCACGTACGATGTGATTTTTGTACGTGCTACAGATGTTTCTCTAGCATGGACAAAAGATGACGAGGTTCACGGGGACTGCGAGATTTTTCTGATGTGCAAAGTAGTGAATGCGTCCATTGGTCTCCTCGAATGGAACAACGTGTTATGTTCCGTTTTGTTTTTTTCTGGAGATGAAGACAGTAGAATAGCATTATTGATGCGCACCCGTTGGCTGGGACGTGTGTAAACGGAAAACAAACCGGGAATACTAAGTTACTTAGATTGGGCGACCCCCAACTGCCAAGCTCGGCCCATGACAATAGGGCGCAGGTGCCAGTATAACACTCAACGCACTGCGTGCTGTTGGTAAACTTATTGACACTCAATCTAGCCTACATACCGTGAAGGCAGCTGCATAATCTACTTACCAGCCACTCTAGTCAGATTGCCACCCTCGCGAGTCGCGACCTCAGCGTTGATTCGATTCAATTCCGAAACCTTGGATAGATCGAGATTCGCGAAGCGACTTTCAAGCCTGGCTGCATATTTATCAGAACTTTTGCTTGGAGCGAGAGGAATGGACGCAGCTGCTGTTGTAATGTCACATTGCTGCACAGCAACCACGCTTCCGAACTACTCCCACTCCCAGGATTTGTAGCTAGGATATTTAACTCGCGACGGCGACTTTCACGCGTTCTTATCTTGTCTCCGCCATCCCGGGTCCTGAAATAGTAAATCAGGGCCTTTATCGACGCCTACACATGCCGCTCCACCGGGAACATCTTGGCAGCCAAGGCGCGTCTCCGCGCCCACGTAACAGCTCCACCTGTAAGATAGCGGAGGGAACGCCTCACCAAGCTTGATAGTTGGTATCAGTAGACTTAGGCGGCTGTCTTCCAGTGATTATCGCCCTGGCACGCGACAAGCCCGTCCATGAGGTGCCGACTCGTTGGTTGAAGACTGCGTCGTGACGCGCGCCATGACTACAGGTGGCCTTGGGTCACGTTCACAGGGGCGTGGGAGGCACCAGTAGAAGGATGGAGCTCTGTGGCTTCTCTCTTAATCTCGAGAATTTGCTCTTTCTCTCCAACTCTCCCAGAGTTGCTATCAGTCAGTTCAGTCAGTCCGGAGCTCTCTGGACTGACTGAACTGACGTCCTGAGGTCACTGAACTGGACTGGACTGACTGCCAAGACTTTTCAATTAAACTAAAACTGACTGACTGAACTGACGTCGCCGCGGCCTGCGGACTGACTGGACTGACTGAACTGAGTTACCTGACGTCGAACTGAGATAAATGCTCCTGTACTTTTGAGATTTCTTCCTCTAATAGTGTGCGCGCTAGCCCAGAAGCTGAGGTAGTTGTTGGCTGTATACCAAGCCTCTTCCAGCTCTTCAAGCTCTGCAAAGCTGAAATAAGCTCTGGCTTTATATGGAGTCTCCGGGTGCCTAACATGTCGCCAAGCTCGCTGAAAGTCCGCTCACAGTCTGCCGCTGCTGCTGGTATTGTTAGGACGTCAATAGCGAACTTTGAGAGTATAGGGAACTGCCCAGCAACTGACTCCCAGTATAGAAGCGGATTAAGAGACAGCCAATCCTCCTCAGCTAACGCTGGTTGCCGCTTCCATATCTCATACTCATCCTTAGCAAGGCTTGCCTCTAACTGCCGTGTGCTTTGCTCAATTGACGACTGTAGAAAAGCTGATCGCGACGTTGAAATCCCTAGCCGGGGCTTCTTACGCGGCGGCGTTACAGTGTGAGCTGAAGTGGCTGCAGAGTCCTTCCGCCCTTGCCACATGCGCAGGAATGCCCGGTGGTTATTGTCAAGCCAGCCGTCGCGATAGTGGACACCGTCACGGGCAGTGACATGGGTGTCAGGCACCTTCCAGAGCGCTGAGAGGTGGTGTTTGTAGTGCGGGTGTAGTATTGTAGCAGTGTAGTAGACAGGCGCGTTATCGAATTTTGCGTAGTACTCAGCAAGCTTACAATGCGCAAGGTTAACGTTTGTAATAAGATGATCTTCAGGCGCATCTAGATCTTCGTAATTTACATCCTTAAGGCGGTCTTTGAGAGCCTCAAGCTGGTCAAGAAGCCACTCAAACGTTACTAGAACTTCCCATATAGCGCCGTGTCGGCCGTGTCGGCCGCGACCTTCAAGTAGCCGTGTAGCTTCGGCAAATGGCTCAAGGAGTCGAATGTATTCTGTTATTGTCGCCCAGTCCTTGCCGCTTAGACCCCCTTCGCGTATATATAACCGTGGCTGGGCAGCAGGGAGCTGGTCACGATTCTTCCGGCGTCGTGAGGTTGCTGTTGCAGCACTATGCTCCTCAAGTTTACACTCAATATAGCCATCGATAGGGCCGTGTAGCTCAGCTGCACGGACAAACGTGTTGAAATAGCTATTCCAGCGTGTCTTAACAGGCTTCACAAGCTGCCGGATGTGGGGTGTAACACCTAGAGACTCTGCCTCCTCGCACTGTAGGCGCTCTAGTAGTTGTCGAGTTTGAGGCGTACAGATAGACGCAATCACGTCAAAGAGGACGCCAACAGGACCGTATTTGCGCCACTCATCCATGTACTTCTCCTCTTCCTCAAGGTGTGCGGCTTCATTCTCGTACGCGCTACGGTCTTTGCCCCAAATTACTAATTGTGCGCTTAGGTTGAGTATATGGCAGCAGCACCGCAGCCGCCGCTCGCTTGCGATAAAGCCAAACTCCTCTGCTAAGGACTCAACTGCAGTATTATTGTTACTTGCGTTGTCAAGCACAAGTTACCCAACCCTCGCGTTGTCAACGCCAAATAGCCGAAGTATTGTTGTTGCTGCAGCGGCAATATTATTGCCAGTGTGCGCCCCGTGTAGCTTAGGCAACCTAAGCAGGTGATCAACTAGCTTGCCCTCGCTGTTAAGGTAATGTACGCAGAGGCTAGTAAAAGCATACTGCCCACCAGTTGAAGTCCAGTTGTCGAATGACACGTGTATAAGCGACCGGGCTTCGCGAAGGTAGTTGGCAACAGCTGGTATGTATGTATTGTACTCAGTAATAATATGATCGTGGAGCGTTTGGTGGCTACGCCAAAGGAGAGCTTCGGCTAGCGGGCTCACGGCCGCAATCATGGCTCGAAACTGCGGCGTTTCTATTACGCGAAGGCTCTGGTTGTCCGCGACTACCCAGTCCTTCAGCGCGTCCTGAAATCGAGAGGTTGAAAAGCTTGCTGCCATCTCGTTTGCTACCTCTTGCGATATTTCTATCCCTTTAGACCTCATAATATGTACTTGGGACTTTGCGAGCGCGCCCATAATATTGCCCTCCCGGCTAGCAATTGGTACAGGTCCGTTAGGTCCGTGTGTGTCCAGGCTTGTTGCTTGAGAGGTGTCGGCCGGCGTTTGTAGTGCTGTCAGCCTCGTAGCAAGCCTCCTGCTTCCGTCGTTGATGGCAGTACCGGCAAAGCCAGTAGTTTTTCTTGTACTTGCGGTGCCAGACGGCCCAGCCGTGGCGGTAGATCCAGCTTTTTGGCCCACCGCGACTATTACGCTCAACCTAGCGCCGCTCAAGATACGGCACACGCTTAAAATCAAGCCCGTCGTAATTGTCGTCGTCGTCGTCGTCGTCGTCGCCGTCGTTGGGGAAGTCCGCCTGTACTGCCAAGGGCTCATCAGCCTAGGCCTCGCTCGCAGTATCGCCAACAGTAGGCGCGTTTGATAGCGATGGTAAAGGAGAATTGCGCTTGTCGCATTCTACAAGGCGGCGAAGGCCTGAATTAGAGGGAGTAGACATGAAGTACACCAAGAAGTATTATGGCAACAGTAGTCTAGCGTCGTGTGTATAGCAGACGCGACGCGACGCGACGCGAAAGGCTTACTAGGTGCGCACCGGGTAGCGCATTTCCGCAAACTCTAATTAGCTTAAAGCTAGATGCTTTAACTTATATAGGATTAGTGTCTATATATCTAGGACTAGCGCGGCTTCGAAGCCGCACTAAATGTGGCTTTCACAACTCTAAAATACTGCTTTAAAAACAGCTAACGTCAGTCTAACGTCAGTCAGTTTAGTCAGTCTGGAGGCTTCTGAACTGACTGGACTGACGTCCAGCTGCCTCAAGAACTGACTGACTGAACTGAGTCTTGGCAGTCAGTTCAGTCAGTTCGAACTGAGTTACCTGACTGATAGCAAGTCTGAACTCTCCAACTCTCCAACTCTCCAACTCTTCATGTTAACATCTTTGCCCACCAAGCCGTCTACTTTGCCTTCCTGAGCGCATTGGAGACTGCACGCCTACCATGAACGCCGTTCGACGAGCCATGCGGGCCGTGTTCCCTCCACCTCGAATAGCGCCCGATGGCCGTGCAGAATGGCCCTCGCGAGCACCCTACGTACTGGCCTCAATGGGAGGAACCATAGGATTTGGAAATCTGCTTCGTTTTCCGTCCCAGGTCTTCAACGACAACGGCATCCAGTGGTTCATACCCTATCTTATGACCATCTGCCTCCTCGCCATTCCAGTGCTTATCCTAGAAGTCGCCATAGGACAGGCTTATCGTAGCGGCTGCGTCATAGGATATAACGGTCTTGACCGACGTTTTACAGGAGTCGGGTTCGGCATGGTCTGCGTCGGTTATGCTGTAGCCATTTATTACATCTCAGTCCTCTCCTGGGTTATAGTATATTTCCGAAACTCTTTCCGATCAGCCGACTCTTTCTTTCCCACGGACGGAAAATCCACAGGCATATTTCAGTCATGTGGTCAATGAAGTTCCCCCAATTGCTGCCGTATACAGCGACGACGGCAGTAAAGTACTGTAATATGTGTCTTATCCCGGGATAGACGTCTCCGGTGAGCTAATCGGCTTGTGTCTTTTCTCGTGGTTCATCGTGTGGATCTGTTTGTACAAGGGCATTGCCATCACCGCCCGCGTGGTGTACATTACCATCGTCCTTCTCATCATTCTTACTATTGTCCTGGTTGGGCGTGGAGCTTCATTACCGAATGCAGGCCGAGGAATCAAGCTTTACTTTGGCGAATTTAATGCTGATGAGCTCGCCGCGGGCAAGATCGGGCAAGCGGCCACCAGTCAGGTGTTTTACTCTACGGGTGTGGGTTTCGGCTGCTACACAGCCCATGCATCCTATAACTCAAAGTTCGCCAATGCAGTCGAGTATGTCATGATGATATGCAGCGCCAATGCTCTTTTCGAGTCGTTTGCTGCCTTTGCAGTCTTTGGTGTCGTTGGCAACCTGGGTATGACACCTGAGAGCCAACAAGAAGCCGTGGGCACGTATACGCTCGGCTTCTACACTCTTCCCAGCGCTATCTAGCAAATGCCCGGCGCACCTTTCTTGGCTGTCTTGTTTTTCTTGACCTTTTTTCTGCTTGGTGTTTCCTCGTCTTTCGCGCCACTGGATGCGATGATCACATCCATGTGCGATACCCATTGGGGCTGGAAGTTCAAGCACTCAAGTATCGCGACGGTAATCACTATCATCTCGGCTTTGCTGTCGCTGTTCTACTCGGCCGGATTTGGCTACCAAGCTACCAATGCAGTCGATGCATGGATCAGTAACATCTCGCTCATCTTCGTCGTATGGACCGAATGCGTCTGCGCTACTTCGTTCTACCGCTTCGTCGATATCATCGGTCAGGCCGGCGCACCTTCATTCTGGCTCCACTAGTGCTCTTACATCGGTGCCCAAATTATTGGTAACGTACACAGTCTCCGACAAGATTGGCGCTGATGTTGGCTTCGGCGTTTGCATTGCTGGCACAATCATCTCAGTTTTGATTGCGAAGGAACCGAATTCCACGGCGCCTCGTTTCTGGGGCCGCAACAAATTCCTGAACCGTGACTGGTGGGTCGGAATGTACTTTGTAAGAACAATCCGTCCGCAAATCCAATTGAGCTTCTACTAACAACCTCCAGGGAAACCAACTAGCGCGCGATCTCAACTACGTAGTATGCGTCGGTAACCAATGGCGACTCCCCGTCTTCTGGGCACCCATCTTGCGCTATTTTGCCGCGCCCGTACTCTCCATCATCTTCTGCTTCGCCTATCCCACCTTTTACGCCACACGCGGCGATCCACTTCAGATCTTTGCTTTCATGGTCGCTCATCTCATTGTTTTAGTTGTTCTTGTGGGCTTCATCATTCCTAAGAGCTTGAACATTTTTGTGCCACCAGAACGTCGCGATGAGGGCAATAGGCAGTATGCTCCTCAGACCTTGCTTGGAAAAGATGACACGAACATTGTTGGAGGTATTGCGCCGGGGCTAGAAGAGGAAGCTGGTACGTCGCCGTATTCGGAGTCGGAGAAGATTGACAGGAAGAAGTAAGTGGCATGTGAAAGATTAGACCAGCACGCTATCTGGCAGTGAAGTTTTCCAGTTGAGATTCTCCCGAACACTTGCTGCTATCGAGAGTGGCCAAAATCTCAAACAAAAACGTCTATACCCTTGCGCCAGACCGTTGACAAGTGAATTTCTCAATACTTCTTTCCCGTGAACTCCCTGCAGATGGACATTTTCGCTGCTTTCGGCAGCCTACACCACTGTATACGGTTGGAACGGTATTAATAGGTATACTGTCAAAGATAGTAAAGAATACACAAGTGCTCATGCCCCATGGCCTAAACATCTCATCACAGCATAAACGCTGCTATTCCAACCGCAACCGCACCCCCAGCCATCGCCACCAGGCCAGTAGGACGCGGTCCACCAGCCATCCCGCCCTCACTCCCTGTCGCTTTCAGTCCAGCCTCAGCCCCCATCCCCGTTCGCGTCGGCATTGCGGTAGATGCAGGTGCCGTCATACCCAAAACAGTCGCCACAGCAAACTTCAACTCTTCCGTTGCTCTCAAATCGCTCTGCGACCACACCGATGGCTGCCCACTAGGATATACAATGGAACCGTAGTCTCCGCCGCGCGCATCCCCATCGCAAGTTATAGGGACTTCAGTAAATACGTCCGTCCATGTGCACTCGCCGTTCTTAGTCAACCCCCCGGATGCCGCGTCTGTGAGGTGGAAGCCCCAGGTCTCTGGGCCTTGGAACAGGGTGAAGGGAATGCAGGGGGAGGGTGCGGTAAGCGGGGTGCTGGCTGGTAGTGCGGTGGCGTAACATGAGAGGGCGACAGACCGGCCGTTGTCGTAGCCCGCTGTTATCAACGAAGGGGCTGGATGGCATAGTCAGGGGTGCGATCCACAACGTGCCATCATTTTTGGACTTACCTATGTATTTTATTGACAAAGACGGAGTAGGAGTCGTCGTTTCGGCATCGCAGACTTTTTTGTAGGTAGTCGCTGTGGCATCGGAGGATACGAATGTGAGTGTAGGTTCGGCACGGTACATCAAATTGATGTATGTGAGGTTATACTGCGCATGAACTGCGCTCGATAAGAACGATGCAACAAAAAGCTTCAACATGGCAGTAGCGCGAAAACAGAAGGTCTCGATGATCGCAAATGTTCAACGTCAGAGGAATCTCGACTGGAGTCGCAATGCCTTAATTTATTTCATTTCTGTATTCGCTATTGCATCCCAAGTAGGCAGCTGCCAAGATGATCTGGGTCGGTTCTCTGGTTGTGGAGGATTGGATTTAACTAGAAGCTCGGCAAGCCTTGTGTTGGCGGGGCGGTAAGCAGATATAAGTAGACGCGCCCTCGTTGTACATGAGCCTAGCCAGATGACAGCCAGATAATGATTATTTAGTACAACCGTGTAATTGGCTTACGGATGTCTCGAAATAGTGTTTTCACCACTGTTCAAAAGCTTCAGCCGCTCATGCATTTGATGGGGATGTGTAAACGTTCATCGTACGCTGTACCTGGGGGGATATGTCCGCGTGCCGCTGTAGGCACGCCTAAGCGATAAGCCGAGATTCGTGTGTCGAGTCACAACTGCAGACAACGTACACCGGAGTAGGACGTGAAAATAATTAACCCAAGATAAATGTCGGCCGAAGTGCGATGAGCTATATTCATTAGGCTCCCACCCGATGACTACCTTTCGGCGGAAAGCGCGTGAAAATCAAGACCACGAAGCCGAGCAATGCAACAGCAGCGTTGCAGACGAACGTGAGATGACTTTGCCCGATCTCAGCGAGCGCCGCAAATGTCAATCCGAATACTGTAGTGGTCGACAGTCGTGCGATGTTTTCAACAAGTGTAATGCCAGCCAATGCGTCGACGCGCTCGGCGTTTGGAAGCATCTGGAGGATCGATCCCTTTGACGCTGCACCCGTACCTGCAGCACATGGTAGCAATACGGCGACAAGAAACATCTGCCATCCCTGCGACACAAAGACGGCGACGCCGGTAAGGATCCCATCAAGCAAAAGACTGAAACGCGCGTAGAACAGGTCAAACGCAAACGTCTCTTGTTCATTCGTTGGTTCTGGGTTTGGCGGTTCCTCATTCTCCAGGGGATCAACAGTCTCTGTTGTCGCGGGCGTGGGCGGTATGACATGGACTGCGAGTAGTGGCCCCCTTTGCTCTTCTTCCTCTTCCCTCTTTTTGTCGCCGTCACCCAGCCATTTCCGCCCAGCAGCAATGATGCGCGGGAAGACGAGGGAGAGAAACCCACCTCTCAAAGACGAGTATAGGAAGATCAATGCTCCATTCTCACTGGTACCAAAATGAAATTCCGCAGTTGCGTACATTTGGAGTAGCACTGGTATATATCCTGTCGCAAGGATACCCAAGAAGACGCCAATGCCTAGGGTCAATGCTCCGGTCTGAGTGCATGTACGTCCGTCTGGTAGAACCCATTTTTGCGGCGCAAAGATTCGAAGAGGGCCCAAGAAGCGCGCAATACCGGTGCTTTGGCGAGGCTTCGCGTTCTCGTCCTCTATGGGCGGAGGCATGGCAGGTAGAGACAAGGCAACGTATAAGCAGCATAGCAGGAACAATGCCAGCGTCATGCGGAACGGCGCAAGAATACCAAAGTAGTCACCTACAACACCACCAACCAAAAAGCCAATTGCGGAGCCAAAGTACATGCAGCCCTGAAGGCGGCCCAATGAGCCAGTCCGCGCTTCATGCTGGACCACATCGGCAACCAGCGAATTGAGACATAGGACGTAACCATTCGGGCCACCTACGACAGTGATGATCTGGGAAGACTGCACAATCAAGATGCCAATCTTGCCGCCGTGCATGATACCGATAGTCTGCACCAGCAGACGCACCGCAGGCCAAAAAATCTGAATAATGAGCGCCAACTTGACGCCCAGCCTTTTAATCGTCCACCCAGCTACAAGCAGATTCACCAGACCAAAAATCGTAGTCGACGAGGCCAAAACAGCAAAAGAGCGCGCAGCTCCAGCCTCGATCTCGCGCCTGGCGCAAATATCATCGACGTCGGGATCCGGTTCATGATGCTCGTAAAACGCATCGCACATCATGAGGCGGAAAGCATAGAGGATGGGAACTTGAGTAATGCCAAAGGTCAACGAGACGAGAAAAGCGCAGAGCAAAGCGCGAAACAAGACTGATACGCCCCGCTTCCCTTCTCTTTGTTTGGGTTCATTTTCGTGTGGCAGAAGGGGCGTCGTTTCCTCAATTGGCGAGGCACTGTTGGCCTCTTGCAGGACAGCCATCTTCGAGGTTTGGCGTAGAGATGTGTGTGAAAGTCTGATGCTGTTGAGGCAAAAAGTCTTTATCATCCTGCACTGACTAATGCACTATGGTACGGTGGCTGTCATCGGACCGCTTATCGGCGGAATCGCCGTGGCGCGCATCTCCTCCCGAGGTCTACACACCGACTCTGCCATGAAGCCGGATATCAGTCGAAGGGTATGGACACAAAGGATGCTGAGTTGACCGGACCTGTCAAGGTGCGTCGTGCTCGAAAGGCTTGGGGAAAGAGGATAGTCTTAGGTCGCGATGACATCATAGCCACCAGACCCTTGCTACCGCTTCCAAAATCACCCGATGTCCTTCCCAGACTCCACATCATACCCAAGTCATATCTGGAGCCACGCACACTGAATTACTTCGCCGCGAGTAGGCCACATGATTGAATTGAGATGTGATGCAATTATTGCACATTTCCGATATGCCGGAGCCCTCAAAGTGGAGTGAACCAGCCCGCCACTATACATGAAAAAACAAATGCAAAACCAACGCCGCCTATATTGCCCAACCTTTAACCCATGCCTAACCAAAACCCAGTTTTTTTCCTTTGCTCCAATTTCCTTTCCCCGCGATGAGGGTATCTCACTGTTGTACAAAGCCGATTACGCCTTCGCGTCCCGGCGCATCAATCGCTAGCGTTCATGACGCTTAGGCGAAAGCGAATCTCTCGTTGCAATGCGACATCTCGCGGAAGCAGTGTGGGCAAAGGTCCAGCCCTTGCGAGGTCAAGCCGAGGGCTGCTGATGCGGCGTGCAGAGTCTCGCGGGTAGATGCAGGTGTGGTTGTGGAAGCAGGTGTTTGTGCGCCCGATGCGGAAGCTGGGGTAGAAGAGACGGAGTCTAGATATTACGTTAATTTGATGGTGGTGACTATAAAAAGAACATATCTTACCCTTGAAAGAAGGCATGGTAGTAATATTGCAATTGATGATTTGAAGTTTGATTGTGTGTGGTATGACGTATGCGACGGCTTATCTGCTGTAGATGTGAATGCTGAGGGTGAGAAGCGGTGCTGGTGCCGCAACCGCCATTTTATACATGTCTTGCCAACAAAACGTCACCTTGGCGAGTAAAATTCTAGTTCACCCCGACTTGTCCCGGCTGTTTCAAGAATTTGCGTCGGACGACATCAAGATGATGCGCCACGCTCGCCTCACGCGGTGGGTGGAGTGATGATAACGCGTGGAAGATCCACTGTTAGCCGCTAGTGCGGCTCAGATTTTCAGGGCTAGCATAATGAAGCTTAGTATTATGGTATCGGTATTCTCATTTGTCGAAGCTCATTGAACTTTTTCATCGCCAGTGATACCGGTGTTGGCCGTTATTATTACTTCACGAGGAGATAATTTGTATTGATGTTTTAGTAAGTCATTGTTCATAAGCTTATGAGACGCTTGAGTTTAAGCTAAGAGTCTGAAGCAGTTTGGCTCTCCCATTTGGCCCTCTAACCGCTTAACCTCACTGATAAGTTGCCTCTCCATCTCCGTAATCAAGTCAATCGTAACATCCAGCGCACCCGATGCCTTAAACAAGGAAATAATGTAAGATTTCGTCTCTGGCGACAACCGCACGGTATCAGTTTGATTGTTGCGGAAGATAGCCGCAATTTGCGCAAACGACGCTGGTGCCATTCTCTGGCATTCAATCAGGAGATACGACAGCTTTCCCTCGTCCAGGTCTTCGCAGCACCCTTTGCCCTACGTGTATTCTGTGGACGTTAGATTCATGTAATCATCTCGAACCTGGAAGTAGCGTCCGAAGATGCGCAAGAATGAACTGAAACTTTGTTCCTTGGCATGTCGTGATTTTGACGCCATAAGCAGGAGAAGCACCTCAAACATGCAGCCAGTTTTCTGATCGACCATCTCGAAATATTCGTCTTCGGTGGGGCAGATGAGGTGAAATCGCCAGTGCAGGTCGTAGTTCTGGCCAATGTGCATGCGTTGTAGTATCTCTAGGAAAGATCGTTGCACTGCGCGGTTGAAGTTATCGCTGACCATTTGCATGGCACGAACGAAAAGGTATGTGGAACTATTGATGGACTGCGCGGTACCAAAGATAGTATGCGCAGCTGGTTTTTCACGGCGAAGAGGCGATTGGTCTTGGATGTCGTGTAGAATGAATGACGAGTTGTGCAGCATACTTGTGATCTCTTTGATTAGATTCACGTGCCGGTTCGAGATCTGAAACCATTGGTTTAGCGCGTAGATCAGTGTGGAACGGACCCCTTTCGAGGGTAGTGATACCATGTATGAGCACGCGGCGTCGATTGGGTAGGGGGCTTTTAATAGGGTGAGAGACGGCTGTGCTATGCCGTCCATCTTGCTCGTCACGTGCTGTGAGTCGGCAGTACAGCTCGAAGTAACGTCTGGTTGCAGTGCGACGGACTCGATGCACAATGTACACATGAGTACACCAATACAACAGAAGTGCGTTTAATCCCACACTTGCTTACAGCCATCTATCTTGCAAACTCCGCAAAAATTTTAACAAAACGCACATCCACCTTTTTGGCAAGGTTATGTTCTTCCTGCGATATGCGACGCAGCTCTGCTGTGTAGGGTTGGTCGCGATGATACGCCCAGGCTGCTTCATCGGTGAATCTGTGAACCGTCAATGTCTTTCTAGCATAAACTATGGATGTTATTTCACGAACTTCTCGATCACATAATACACTTTTGCATCATTGTCCCAAACAACTTGAAACGAGAGCGCATTCGGCTCGTGCGTTTCAACCTCACAGACGAGATCGTCTAGCATTTCGCCAACCTGGAAGACGCATAATAACATCAAGTCAGCTGCCACAGGTTCAGAAGTTGAACAGGAGAATTTTTATACCCTTTTCTCTCTTCCTTCAGCCGGGGTCACGATATTGATCGTCTGAAACATGTCGGCGTGTTGATGTTAATGATAACAATAACAATAATGGAAACAGAGAAACGTGATGGACGGCAGGGCAGATGGAGTAGGATGAATAAGAGGATCACGTCGCGAATATGACGGGCTTCAGTTGTGCTTATATTGCACACAATCGACGTGGCTCGACGGCTCGGCGGCTGTAGTGCAGTTAGTACCGCAAACTGTTTGTCCTAGACCGCCTCATCCCATGATGACTAGTGCTGCAAGCAAGGAGTGCCTACATAGTAATGACCGTAGTACTGCCGACAACACTTGATTGGCTTGGCTCTATACGATCTCATTGGACATGGACCACGTCACCCAGCGCCTTACTAACTTGATGAATATGTCGGCAACAGTATTGAAACTCAACTATTTAACATCTTTAGACCCCTACGAACGACAGATGCTCATTCGACTTAAGATTAAGCCTATTCCTGTTGATGTTGATCGAGAGCCGCGGATGATTGATGGACTATGGCTCTTACAAGAGTGACATTGAGTCCCACTGGAATGTTGGAAAAGTTTCGATAGTTCAATGTTACATCAACAATCGGGGCGGAGTTGCCGGACGCAAGCCTCAAATCCTAGTTCGAGGATCCGAACGAAGACGAACTGCTTCGTGTTGGCAATAACAGGTCAGCTTCCAGATATGTGGCAACCGCATCTGGTTGTCGATGACTACCTAGATGGCCTTCTTAGTCGCTAATCATGACATTACTCTCGCGTCACGGCGTCGTGCTTTTTAGTCAACAAGACGAGCTCACTGAAGACATGTAGAAGTCAATAGTGCAAAGGCTAGGAATTTTTACTGACAAGCCAGCTACCTCGTCTCTCCATACTGTCTAACCCACTCCAGACGCGGATTCTGAAATCTTGCACATCAAATTTGAAGAGAACAAGAAGATCTTAGCAGGAACACAATTTGACCCTGCCGACCCGGCACACCAAAGCTGTTCCGGTTTATAGCACAACAATATCAGCTACGAACCATTTCCAAGTGATTATGCCTCGCTCCGAATAACTCAAGTGCCTGAATCAGAAGGAGGCAGACGACTCCTCGCTTACATCAACAACAACTGTGGCTGGCATTTCCGCAAAAGATACGCTATGGGCTTCTGGATATAGCTATAAGACCGCATTTCGCGCCCACTACAGATGTTTCTAGAAACTCTAGCCGCTTCCTTTGCGGAGCTGCATAAGAGAGACGCTTCAGGTCATCGGTTCTAAGTCCCACGAGGGGCCTCAGCGAACGTGGGCGCGAATCTCCGACCGAAGCATCCGGTAGTTCGTAAGAACCCGGCCACGGGTTGGTAAAGCGTCTATGCCGTCGGACATCAATATATCAATGGCCTTACTAGCAATGAAAGTGATGGGCTCAAGCATCGATTTACCAAGCTAATTGTTGAGAGTCACGATCTCCAAATGCGCTTCCGTTGAAACAACGCCAATCATATCGGTATGTTGCATTGATGTGTCTCTATTCCACATGCTAAGATTCCATCGTTACATCCGGCTACATGCATCGTTTACTAACAAATAAAGCTATCCGGGATAATCGCTGTACATTTCAAAGAGCCACGTACGACCATGAGGGTTACGGCATTCGGGAGGGCTATCGTGTTTGCGGTGTTGGGGAAAAGCCGTATCTAGATCCTCATAGTACCGGCCGGAGGGAAGGGAAAGGGCTGTCTTGGACCCGAGTTTAACTAGGCTCGGTCAGGGTGTACTGTATGTAAATACGACGCTAGTTTGGCAATGCAGCGGACACCGCTTTGGCTTGGTGACAACTCCGATGCGTACACCGTACGAAGTATTTCAATCTGCGCGGGGCCGAACTAGCGACTGCTATCCCCGGCTCCTGCAGGGCGCGCCCTCGCTTGCATCGGCAGGGTATGGTCCGACTCAAGAAGTACCGGTACGTGGCAATCGGCCCGACTATGGAGTGAACAAATTGTCCAAGCCATGTATTTTGATCACTGGATTATAACATCAACTTCTTGAAATGACTCAGCATCGTGTTTGTGTGCAAGACTTGGACTGTATGGGCGGACGCTACCTTTGAATATTACACAACGACGACGCGGCACAATGTTCTTGCCAGCTCTGATCCAGATGATCCGCTCATTGGTGTGCCCAGGCTGGATTCCCTGCCGGAAGACATCGACATATTTCTCTTATATCAAAAGATCTTCTTTGGTACTCGCCTCAGTAAACCGCACATAAAATTATGGGCCAGTGGAATCGTAAGTGTTTGAGCCCACGAACCAGCCGCCGCTGCTGATGCTTGGGGCGCAAAATCTCATTTCCCACCGAATACATTATCATGGATCTGAAAGAATGGAAATCGACTGGGTGCAGCTAGGTCTATTTGACAGCATCATGCCATGTGCAGATGAAGAGATTGTAGTCTACAATTCTATAAGTGGTCGTACGACGAAAATACCAGCACCCTGCTTGTGAGTATCGTGATGTCCTACATGCATTCTGTTCGGTGATGGTTCTGATTGATTGTCTTGCGAAGGGGAACTATAGAAGAGCTAGATATAGGAGGTCTGGTCTGAGCGCTGCTCGGACGCCGCGATCAGTGCGCCTGTCCGCGTGACTGATGCTAGTGCGCCTGCTCGCGTGACCGAGATCAGTGCGGCCGATCGCGTGGCTGAGATATCGTTGATATCTGTGATCCGACATTATGATTATTAAAGGACGGCCGGCTTTTGACGTGTCATATGTCTCATTCGTCATTATATTGCAGTTTAATATGCTATCCGTTGTCGGATTACAGATGTTAATCACGGGCCGCGTCGGTCCTACTTCGGTCTGACTCGTACTAACCCCGCGTATATCTTCATAGCAACCTAGAGATAAGACAATTGATCAGAACAACCACACAGAATGCATTCCTAGTTATCGTTATTTCCCTTTACGCACTTAGTGCAAAGCCAACCAACATCCGTGATTATATCGACCATGGAACTTGCAAATCCTCATTCTTTCCAATTATACTGCCTTGTCATAGGCAGCAATTTTGCTCGTTTGAGGCTGTATCTAGGCAGTGTACTATTGTTCATTCAAAACACAACTACGGAACGCGATATTGTAAGCTAACAGCGTTGTCAGAAAATTCAAAACTGTTGAGAAGATGTAAGGTTCAGTCCAGGTCGGCGGGGATGAGGCTCGTGGAAGTAAGCCCGAGCAGAAGGACCGACGCGGAATGATGATCTGTCATGTAAATCCCCAGATCATCATGATAATAAGAAGACAGAACAACAGCTCTTAGTGTAGTTCAATCCAATACGTGGTGACCTAACATACCTCTACTCGGTTCCCTATGGTAGTCATACCACCAGAGGAGACCTTGTTCCAATAAAAACTATAATGTAGCTATAATAAGTACGTCAAGAGTTGGACTTATCGTTATGTCGCATAGAATGATCTGGAACGATCATAGGATAATTTCCAGCAATGACTATATGATAAGTTCAATATCAGCCTCATCCATTTCGACCTACTTGAGCGGGATTTTTTGAGGTGATTACCCCACAAAACCTGTACAATCCTCAAACGCTCATTATATGTGTGGTAGAAATTAGCAACAATTAGAGCTATGACGCATGTGATATAGTCATACTCTATACTGTCCAGCTTGTCTGAGTATAAGCGGTAGGGTAATTGTAAAAAATGGCTATACATAGCTAAATGATCCGCTACCACAAGATTCTCGCACCTTTCAAATGTAGCGTACGTATACACCAGGTCAGGGAAATCCAGAGGTAAGAGTGAATCTGAGTCCTTATAACTGAACCTGATTCTCTGGCTGTCTATCGTGTCAGGAGGATAGTAATCGAACAACTTCGCATATTTTCCGTATATCCCATAGATGACTTGGTCGAAATTGTAAGCTGACCTGGCTACGATATCAGCCAGGGGTAGGCATATATCACTGCCCACTGAATATATGGTTATTCGATCCTTGATCTCTTCAAAAGGTGAATCGATGGGAACGAGGAAGTGATAGTTCCATGTATATCTAAACCATCTGTCTTTTGCGATCAATAACAGCAGTGTTTTAGCTTGATCCATGTCTGCAAATGCATTCTTGATTTTCGTCGTGCACCGAGAAAGACTGTCATCACCGGTGAGATCGTAATCCCTATCGGAGTTGATCCCATCCAGGTAAAAGTCGTCGCTTAGATACAAGAGCAAGGAATTGAGCAAGTTTCTGTCATTGATCGTGTAAGGCAGAGATGCAACGGTACACGTGCTCTCTTTGTAGACTCAATGTATAATCTTCAGATGCTTCTCGATGTCGACGGGATCTTTCTGATCGATACACTCCTAGTCTATCCAAAGATAGGGGCATTTTAAAGATCTTGCAAACTGCATTACGCGATGGAAGAACAGCTGCGGACAGCTGATTGGCTTTGGCTCTTCGTGAGATCTACTGAATCCATGATGGTGTATTCGGGTATTGACGATAGACCCTGTGTGGACTGCTCATGCTGCTAACAGTATGAGACTGTTACATAGTCCATGCCATCTTGATATTCATCGATAGTCGTGAGCCTGTAGTCACTATATTGTTCGTCGAGGATCCATTCGTTAATAGAAAAAGGTGTGATGAACCAGAGACGGAAGTTTTCGTCATCGGATGCTTTCTAAAGAGCTAGATCGATGACATTCTCGATGCTCTCATGCATCGCCTCGGCGTTCGTGTGAATGTCACCCCAGAAACAGTCGATATCGCGCTCCATGGCTCTGGGTATCCAGAAGATCGAAGAGATACGCCAGAGTTTGAAATTGTTCCCAGTTTCAGAGGAGAATGATGGAAGGCAGAGTCCAGTTGTTGAGCCGATGGGCCTTCTTAGAGAAAAGGATAGCCTGTATGCTCGGTTTGACATCAGTTCGGGTCAGAATAGACGCAGTTGTAAGCAGATGGGAAGAGGAAGTAATCAAGATGCCGAGAACGCCACTGAGGTTACAAAATATGTCATGCTTTACATAACGACAACACAAAGTCAGGTTACAGCATTGGCAGAGGCATAGGAAAAGAAAGAAGAGATAGACGGAGACTGCACTCAAGAAGTTTCTAGGCAGCAATTTGGGGCCAAATCAGCGGGGTAAAACCTTGGCAAACCAGCGCCATGCTGACTGCGCCTTCCCATCGCGCAACACCCGGCTGCAGCACCTTCACATCATCGATCACCAAGCATCCCAGAACTCTCAGAACAAAAACAGAATACAATTCATACATGAACACATGAATGTCTATCTACCGTAAACCGCGTACGTACAAGGATGCAACAAACGACCGCAACCGCAGTCCTGTCAAGCACACATATGACCACAATCCACCCTCCAGAAAGTCTAAAACATTACGCCAAAAGCCAAAACAACATCAAATCATGCATGTATCGGATATCAATGCCACATTCGTAAAGGTCCTCAGTAGCGTGAAAAAGAAAAGAAGAAAAAGCAGACGCCCATCCCTTTGGATTCGAGGAAGCTTCCACCTGGTAACCCCGATGAGTTACCAGGAGATTAAATGAACTAATAAAGTGATCGCCTCTTCAGTTTGTTTCTAGGGCTTGTTAGCAACCGCCATGGTCATACGTAGAGGGAAGAGAGAAAACTTACGTCGCACTCCAACTCAACCGACTCTTATGCTTCGATGGCTCTTTCGGCGCGGCGGGGACCCCAGTTGACGGCCTATCCGCGTCTTTGCCCTTGGCCGCGGCATTCTCCTTCTCCTTCTCGTCCTTCTTCGCGTCCGCTTCCTCCTCAGCAGAGGCATAGTACCGCGGCACCATCGGCGTACTGCGTCTGGTAATTGGGGGCCGCGGGCTCTGCGCCTTGGCATCAGAAGCCATGCTCAAACTTGTAGTCGAACCCAGCGGCTGCGATGCTGCTCTCGGCTTCGTCATCCCGGTGAGCGAGGTAACGCCAGTGGAAGTCATTGGCCTCGCGGAGACGTTTCTGTCTCTTGGTGCGAGTGCGCGTCTCATCATGGAGTTGTCTCTCTTCATAAGCTTGGCTTCCTTCTCCTTTGCGAGCTGTGTTTCGGCGGCGGTGGGGCCCTCGGAAGCTTTTTGCTTCTCGGGCTCGGCGTGCTTGCCGACGAACTTGTGCATCATGCCCTTGAGGTTGAGGCTGCGGCGTTGGGTAGTCTTCAGCTCGCGCAGCTCTGGTGGTGGTGCGTCTTGCGACATCAGCGTCCAGCGGGCTGGTATCGCTTTCGGTGTGCTTTTGCTGCGAAGGTGGCGGGCTGGTGTTTTTTGGATGCTGCCTTCGCGCTCAGTCACGGCGGGCATCGCGGGCATAGATTCGACTGGCATGGGTTCTTGGGAGACACGTGCTGAGGGGCTGAGTTCTTGGATGAGAGTTGCGCCGCTGGACCGAGCTGATGAACGCTCTCCACGCTCTGTGCGATCGATACGCTCTGCACGTTCTGTACGATCTGTACGGTCTACTCGTTCAGTGCGATCTATGGGGTCTAATGAGATGACGTGCTGGCGAGGGCGTTGGGCGACGAGCCGCTCATGATCAAGCATGAGCTGGTACTTTGTTGCCTGCAGATCAGCAATAGTTTGCTTGAGGCGATCGATCTCGTCTTGGTCTTGGGTATGGAAGTTGACGGCAGCATCAACTTCTCCCTTCAAGTCCTTGACGTAGTGGTCTTTTTCGGCAATGGTGTTCCTGAGAAGCTCAATCTCCTCCTCTTTAGCTGCCACCGCATCCCGAGCCTCTGCAAGTTGTCCTTCCATACGCTGAAAATGTACGCGGTGCACGACGCTTGGACGTGCAGCCTCAAAGTCGTCGTTGACGGTCTGCTCTTGTGCGAGTTGTTCTCGTAGCGCTTCAACTTCTTGTATCGCGGTGAACAAGCGTGCGTTTGCGTCTGTCAATCGCTTCTCGAGAGCAGCTACCTCAGCATACAGGCGAAGGTTCTCTTGCTGAGTACTGTCAAACATGGCCTCGAGCTCATTCTTGTCATGCTCGTCCTCATCGATGGTCGGCAATCGACTGGGCGCAGAGTCTGCTCGGCTCCGGGTCTGTGGTTCGACTTCCGAAAGCTTGGCCGCGGCACTCTCCAGGTCTTCCCGTGTTTGTTCATGCCTCTCTCGTTCTTCCTTTAGGGCTTTCTGAATCTTCTTGGCAATATCCCATGCTCTTTGAAGCTCAGCCTGCTGGTTGACGATTTCCTCATTCGTGGTGTTGGATACTGTCAGTTGTGCTTGTAGTCTCGCGATGAGTGCATCCTTCTCGTCCTCAGCTTCGAGTGACGCTCTGCCTTTCCTGACTCGTAATAGTCTGACCTCGAGCGCATTCTCTCCGTCTTCCTCGCTAAATCGTGGGCTTAATTGTCGCTCCACGGAGATTAGCCGCTCCTTCATCAGCTTTAACTGGGCGTCTTTGACTTCGATGGTTGTCTTGTGCTGACGGGCCATCTCTTCCAGCTGAATGTCGCGTTCCAGAATGTACTTGTCCTTTTGCTCGTTGCCCTTACGAAGCGCAAAGAGCTCGATGTCCTTCCGGTATACGATGGCCTGATGGTCTCGTCCCAAATTCTGCTTAATGATCTTGAGCTCTTCGCGGAGGCCCGTGTATTCTGTGAAGGTCTTGTTCAGCGCCTCGCGTGCATTATGAAGCTCTTCTTTGGTGATCCGGAGCTGTACTTCCTTGGCCTTGTGGGATGTTTTTGTCTCAGTGAGCGAACGTTGCAGTCGCACGATCTCTCTATCCTTGAAGTCGTATGCAGTCGGGATTGTGTCAGCTGCCACTAGTTGGGAAGGTAAGACGGGCTCGGACTCTTCAACCTTGACACTTGTCGCCTTAGCAGACGATGTGCCAGCCAAATTGACTGGAATAGAGCGGGTTGGAGCTCCAACGGTTTCAACAGGCGACATTTGCTGGGGTTGTTCTTCTGATTCGTCGGCCTTGGTAGCGTCGGCCTCCCCACGGACTAACACTCGCTGAAACATGTCAAACGCGACCATGACAAACACAACAATCACCAAGTCGTGGGCTTCGAGCTTTCGATTCGCACAACTAGCGAGTGCAATGAAGTGTAACGCGTTCGCAATATATGTCTGATGTCTACTCGCCCAAGAATCCGGTAATTGGCGGACGACGCAGAGAAAGGTTCCGGGTAAGGCTGTAACGATGACCGTAGAAAGGGGCAAATCAAAAGCAAAGTCTAATGCTTTGTGGCGCAATTCGGTTTGGTGACCTTCTCCTGGTGCAATCTGGCCGATGGAAGGGGTGTCGCGCACAGTGCTGATGAGCCGGTAGAGGCCGTTTGCAGCCAAGCCGCCGTCTGGATACAGTCAGCAATCAAGTAGATGATGTGTGTTCGATCCAAAGTAAGAATTGGTTATGTCGCATTCTGAGCATGAACACATGGTTTCCGGCCCTGAAAGACCACGATGGTGGGAACACAATGGTATCCAGATGACGCTGGAAGTTTACTTACTTGGTATGAATATTGGCCACACAGATTGTAGTGTGTTGTTTGCAGTACAATCCAATGGCGTAGCTGTAGAGCCGAGTGTAGGTGACGATGTGGACGATTTAGCAGTTGGATCTGCAGGCGATAATGTAGTCTTCCCCGTGAGCAAAAGAAACCCCCCAGGAAGGGCAAGATCGGAACCGGCAGCGATCGCTAAAGGATAACGTTGGGCTAAGCTTTGAGCACCTTCAAAAGCTTTGTTCATATCGTGTACAAACTAATATCGGTAGGTGGATGCAATGTGAGCCGTGGGCAAGAAACCTCAATTGGGCGAATCGTTGGAGGATCAATCCTTTCAGAAAAAGTGTCGAGAAATGGACATTGAAGGAATTTCCGTAGATACCGTTGTCATTAAGTTTGTCGTAGCTGCTATATGTGGCATGTATAAGACGTGATTGCTGTTAACATTATGCTGTAAGGAATCAAGGATAAGCAGAAGGACACACGACCAAGACGGGGTGTTTGTGAGTTAAGGGGAAATCCGAACTGAGAAAGCGCATGAACAGCTAAATTACACGACAAAAGCGAATGGGCTGCGGCGCCGTGCTCCAATGCTTCCGAAAAGGATAACGTAGCAAAAGTAATAGAAACAACAGCAGGGATCCCCGTAGCAAAGACACCAACCAGCTAGCCAACAGACTCAGATTTCGAATTGCTTAAAGCCCTCGACCAATCCGTCACTGATTTTGGAAGGAATCGCCCACACAGGTAGGTAGTGCTGTACTTCATCGAACGCAGGGATGCTGCCTGTGTTCGCGTCCGACCACAAGCACACGACTCTTCCAGAAAGCTTGGCATGTTCTTCGGCGTCCCAAGTCAGGGCGACGTTCCAGGGCTGACCAAATTCACGATGCCAGAGTCGCACTTCCCGGGAGCCCGCTGCACCGACGGGTTTGAAGCGAGGATCTGAAACGGCGCCAGTAACGGCCAGCCCGGTGATCGGCGAGTCGAACACGATACGACACGCTCGCGTATTCAGACCAACAACGCGTATCGTGGCTTTGTTCGAGCGATTGCCCTTATGTATCGAGTATTCAAGCCAGCGGTCAGTATTGGTTTCGTTGCCGAATGGCGCTGCACCCGCTGCGTTTGGGACGACTTTGGCGGGCAGGCCTTCCCACTCACATGTCTTGAGTTCTTTACGTGTCGCAACATCCGGCGTCGTGCAATTAAGCGGCTGGTCCTGCGCACTGGGTAACTCGCCCACAATGCGCTGCACGTAGCTGTCTAGTCCAGTCAAGGATACGGTGTTGGCACCAGTCTCGCAGTTGACTCGCTGGACAAAGTACACCTTCAAGCGATGATCCCTGCTGAATGGAAATGCGACAAGATTGTATATGACCGTCGCAAGACATACCAGGAAGAGAAAGGTGGGGACGTGGTACGTGAAGCGATGAATGAAAGGGCCTGTAGGTGCGAGCAACAAGACACTGAGTGCTGCGATGGCAAGGTAGATGAACAAGGGCGAATTGCCGTCTGAAGGGGTTTGGTAGAGGGCTGACGTCAAAAGAAGCGCGACCTGTCCTACCAATACGATGACCAATGGGGCCAGAAGTAGAAGCTGGATAATCCAGATCCAACTGGGTAATTTGCCGCTCCACTCTTGTTCCCCAGGGTACACGTTTCCGAGATCGAGGCGCCGGGATCCTTGTGCGTGATCCTCATCGCCCTCGCTAGTGGAGTCCCGTCTGCTGCCGTACCGCGTGAATCCACGTCGGTCACCCCGTAAAAGTGACGTGGTCTCTGTCGCGTCATCGTCTGCCACGGGTCGATCATCAGACCGTGCCGCTGTGGTGCTGCCTGTGAGGGGTCGGCTGGCAGACTCCGAGTTACGGCGTGAACTTGTATCGTGTTCGAAGTGGCGCGCATAGGCAGACTTTGTCGGGGCAAAGAAGAGCTCGAGATATGAGAGCATGAGGGCGGCAAAGACAACGGCAAAGTAAAAGAGCGCCGGGTAACCGGCAACAACTTGGTAGTTATTGACGAAGACCGTGATGATAGTCAATAAGACGAATGAGCCGATGAACAGCCAGATCAAGGCGTACATGCGCTGGAGTGCAGATGGCCGCATGGCGTCTGCTCCTCGCGAGAAGAACCAGGCGACGAAGAACCAGGCCGAAAGCATCATGCTGCGAAGAATATTAACACGTGTGCATACAAAGATGTAGTCGACTTACCTCCACACAGCAAAAGGGCTACTGTAAATGATAAACGCATTGAATCTGACAAGCAGATACGCCAGGGCGACGACGACAGCCGTAGCACTGACAAAGACGATGGGGAATCGAAAGAAGCCACGCCAACCGTATAGTTGCACTGGATTGTCATCATCTGAGGAGTAGACGAAGGCTTTACGAGCAAGGAGGTAGTTCTTGTCGGCTTTTGACAGCCCGAATGTTAAGCCGATGAGAGCGATGGGTGCCACAACTAGCAAAGTAACGCATAGAGCAAACAACGTGTGCAACTGGAAGACAACAAAAACTCTGCCAAAAAGATCAAACCACACACCATCACTGCCCCTGCCTGCGTTGACTCTGCCGTTGTCGAGGCTTTCGGAGCCGCTGAACTCTTCGCCAGTGACAGCTGCTAGTCCAGATGTCGAGGCCAGGGCCGCAGAGAGCATGTGCCAGAGCGAGTTCATGGATGTCTCACGTGTGGAATCTTCGACTGTGTGATAACGCGCTCTAGGTTCCATGAAGGCAATGTCCAAGCCCCGTAGACCAAGTTCGCCATGGAAGACGCGGTAATCAGTCTCACTGCGAATCAGCCCCTTTTTGAATCCATCACCGCTCACGACGGTTCCAAATGGATATTTGGATTTGCTGTAGAAACGCGTCACTTCGGTGTCGGTGCTTCGGAACAGGGTAGCTCTGCCGCCGGCACCTGCACCCTCGAGGTTGACAAATGTGTGGGGAACCTGGGATATCGGGTTTCGCATAAATGCTTTGGCGCCATTGAGAAAGTCCTCTTCACCATTGTTGAGCAAGAGGATGATGGTTCGCTTGGGCCAGTTATGGGACTCGGTGAAGTAGGACAACAGCTGCAGTACTGTCACAACGCCCACACCGTCATCAGTCGCCCCATAGCCACTGCTCACCGAGTCATAGTGAGCATTGACCAAGACTCCGCCATTGTTTGGTTTACGATCAGTGGAGTTGAAAGGCTCGTCATCCTCGGAGCCGCGGATAACGACAATGATATTAGTGCCCTCGAAATAGACGGAAGTCGCACCAGACGAGAAGGTCGCGTTGGAGGTCAAATCATCGATTACCTCAACTTGACTGGCATCCAAAGCCTTGGTGGCGATGACGCCTTGGATGCGCGATAGCAGATATCCGCGTACATGATCGTTAGCATGACTGTTGTACGGGTGGAAACGTCTGGTGATGTGCTCGAGGTCAGCCCAAGCCTCTGTGAGATTGATGCCTGCCGGAGGGTCCGACGGATAATCCGGTACGGTGAGGTGGGTAACGAGCAGGGCAGCAAAGAGACCGACGTATATGACGGTAGTGAAGAAGACGACTGGTCCAGGGGTGAAGGAAAAGGGATTATAACGAGCCATGGTGAGCTCTCGTGGAGCCACGTAGCTTCCCAAAACCTCGCGATGCAGTATTGGTGATGACGCAAGATGGAGCTCACTTGGTGTTGTATGTAGCTATCGCTATGGTTGGTAAGGGCGGGGTGCGCGCGTCTCGTGCTTGCATGTGCATGAAGGGGCCATAGCTCCTGCCGCCTCCACGCGAGCCGAGGAAGGAGCCACCAAGCCCACACCACGCTAACATAAGTACAGTAGGCGCTATAACGACATGTTGATTGATTATTGATTGCTCAGTTGGACGCCGTCATTCATAGGCCTTGAGGCTCGGATGCCACCCCTCCTTCTGCCTGAGGTGGCTGCTGTAGAAGACGCGCACGACAACACCCAAAAGCTACCAGCACTCGGCGCATCACCTGTTGCCTATTCGGGGTGCTGCCTTGCCCTCAGCGCGCCCCTCATCGAATACCTCCAGTCGCTCCTGCCACAGCCACCAGCCGTCGCTCTTTCCATCGGAAGCGGCTCTGGTCTCCTCGAAGCATACCTCGTCGATGAGCCCATGGCGCGCAACGTCATCGGCATAGAAGTCGAGCCAAGCTCCAATCAATACTTGCCTGCTTCGCACCATCGCCTAGTCCATGGCACTCGCTTTCTCCATCCTCTTGCTGCCGAAGCTACGACCTGGCTCTTTGTCTATCCCCGGCGCGTGGGCTTGTTGGACGAGTATCTGACAGAGTATGGGAATACATCGCTGGAGAGGGTGATATGGGCAGGTCCTCAGGCAGACTGGGGCGACTACAAGGCCTGTTTTGCCGACTGGCATGTACAGGAACGGGGCGCTGATGAGGTAGGCGGGAAGCCATGGGAGCTTATTGCTGTAGCAAAGAAGCGACCATCATGAGACTACCTAGGTACAATGTCATGGCTAGGTGGCACACAACATTGAATGCATAGAACAATGGCCCTTCCCTTCTCCGTGCAGGAAAATGACACGGGTCGCAGATTAATCATTCGCGACGGCACCGTGATACACGCACGCGCTTTGTTAGTCTCGCCCTTCTGGTAGACGTTGCGGCGGTGCATGCGCGGCAATAGAATGGCCTTTCCTGTGGTGAAAACCAGTCTCACAACAAAGGCATTGCGTCCTGGCATGCCTTTAGTTTTCCTTCATGAACCCGACTCTCTTTCATTTTGTTTCGTTCATTGTATTGTCATTCACAAGACACATGGGCCACGACAAACAATAGCACCGTTAGCGTCTTAATAAACCTGCGCTGCTTTACGTCCTTCTGCATTTCTTTCAAGTCTTCCAGACAAAGCTTCTCTCAGTACTCAAACCTTCGCCTCCCACCTGACGATTCGCATTCGAAAATCTCAGCAATCCATGAAATCTACGTGTGACTGCATCACTTCCATCGCATGTTAGAAGAATTCATGTCCCCAACAACCATCACTCAACCTACCAAATAGATTGTACCAACACCAGCTATGGCCGACATCATCGGTCCCGCTTTCATAGGTAGCTATCACTTCACAGATACATGTGCGACAGACAGCTAACGTTGCTTCTCTACCTAGCGGCTGCGAACCTAATACAGCACTACCCTCAGTTTACGGCTGGCATATATGCTGCAGGAGCTATCACGATCGCTATACCCTACCTGACTCCTGCCAATCAATCCCACAGTTGGTTGCGAAAAAATACGACCAAAGAGCAAGACGTCCCCAGCATCGTAAACGATATAATATCCAACACCACCAAGCCGGTCGTCGACATAACCACCAAGACCCAACCGGGGCCTAATCATACCGATAACCCGTCCGCAACAGACATCATTCAACCTATCAATGGTGTACCGTCTGGAAATGGAAGCCTCGTCAACATAACCACCGAGGCCCAATCGGGGCCTGAGCATACCGATAACTCGTTCGCAACAGACATCATTCAACCTATCAATGGTGTGCCGTCTGGACAAGAAATCCCAGTCCTACCTGCTGGTACAATCCTCTGGTCAATTTCCTTGACAGCTATTGGTTTTCTTCTAAACAACCGATGGATCCGTTTGAACGTCCTTGTCCTCATTTCCCTTCTGTTCAACCGATGGTCCCTGTTGAACCGATGGTTCCTGTTCAACCAACAGACCCCTATGTTCACCCAATGGACCCCTAGATACATCAGTGATCCAATAATCACGCGGCTCGGAAAACTTGAGCCTACGCTGAGAGCCGTCTTTAGGCTGGTCGTTTTATTCCTCTTCACCAGAACCTCCCACCCCTATTTGCAATATTTTCTTAAACTAGGGCTCAAAAGCGGCATGCTCGTGCTTGTAAAACCTACAGCTACAAAGATCGTAATCTTCTGCAAAGCCTTGCCTGGTCAATTCCGGGCCCTGCTTGGTCAAATTTGGGCTATGAAGGGCTTCAGTTTTCTCGACATTGGAAAAACCGCAAATGTACTATGGCCCGGCGAAGAATGGTGCCCACTCGCCTGGCGTTGGCTCTGGCGCATGCCCACCACCGTCTTCTTTACTACCTTCTGCACTGTTGCCCTTATCCTTGCGGTGGTAACGTTCCCACAACGCGTCTGGTCGTCGCTGATTGTGCTCATTGTAAGCTTCGCAGCCCCCTATATCCTCTCGTGCCTGCAAGCTGTCGGGGGGCTTGACTGCAAGCAGGATTACATCATCATCACCGTGATAGTCATTGTTGTGCTGCTATTTTTCTGGGCTCGGACGCAAGCCTTACTCAACCTACAGCATGTTTTCGAAATGCTTTTGGGTGCGATTGATAGAATTGTGCTGATCTTGACTTCATTCGCGGCCTCTGTGCATCACTATTGGAAGCTCATCGAAGCCACAGTGCGCAACAGGGTGGATCAGTGGAAGGATACAGCTAATGAAGCTGAAAGAAGGCGTAAACGAAACGTACTCGTGGGAGAGGCCGAAAATTTTGATGAGCAGTCCAATCTACAGCATCAAGCTAGAGCGGAACATCTCACTGAGGTTTCACGCGCTGTTGCCCAGGAAAGCAGCGAGGAAAGCAGTAGGCTCTTGGACAAGCTGAAGCTGCCAAGGAACAATAACCCAACCCCGAATGCGGGTAACGTATTAGATCAACCCTTCGACCACAGTCTGGGATGGGATCTATTGAGGGCAGCCTTATATGAGAATCCAGCTACGGGATCCGCTCCTGCGCCACGGTTTGTGGGCAGCATACAGACGTACCATGCAGATAAGTCAACATCCACAACGAATCTGGTCGATTTACGAGTCGTCGCTGGACCAGAAGGCCCCAACGCAACGGATGGAGCAAATCGACAGTCGCCATCAAACAAGTTAGATAATAAGTTAGTATTTCACAACTTACCCCCTAGGTCATCGTTATCTTACCCGACAAACGAAGATCAGCAAGATGCAGGAAACGTAGGAGATACGCCGTCCGGCTCAAGTGGTACTGCGGCTGGAAGTGGAACTTCACATGGAAACCATCATGGAGGAAACCCTTCTACTACTGGATATGGTTCTACAAACCAAGCGCAGGATCAGTCATCTCAAAACCAATCTACTGCGAGACAGGACAACTGGAGGGGTTCCTTCGCAACAGGCGATCAGGCCATTGACATGAATAGGGAGACGGACGGAAAAGACGATGACAACGGTGCCCCTCACCTACCTCCAAATGATGGCGGCGTCAAGCTATCCACGCCAGAAACTGTGGAAGCTGATGATACGATTATGGATGACACACCCAGAATATTTTCCATCACTAGCTCTCCTGAAATGGACAGCGATGTTATGGAGATCGACAGCGTTGGTGCGTCTTCTTTTGTCTCGCAGCCTACAATCCCACAGCCCTCCATTAATGGCTCTCATGCAGCACCTGGCAATTCTATGGAAAATAACAGCGATGCTGCGTCTTCTGCTTTCTCACAGTCTACTTTCCTACACCCTGCCACCTCACAACCTCCCACCTCGCAATTTTCCACCTCGCAACCTTCCCCGTCACAACCTCCCATATCGCAACCTTCTATCCCGTTGCCGGCTGTTCCGGCGGCGGCTATATCGCAGCCTTCTGGCCAGCCCTCTGCCCCTGTGCCCTCTGTTCCGCAACAGGCTGCCTCAATGCCCTCGGCCCCTCGGCCCTCTCTTCCGCAGCAGGCTGATCCAAAGGAAGTTGCTCCAAAGAAGGCTGTTCCCTCGTCGAAGTTTGACCTCAAGGGAATAATGACCTCGATCCGGGGAGAAACGGGAAACGCACCACCTTCAACCACCAAATCAGTTCCGCCTTCCGAGCTACCTACGAATACACCTGATTCCACGTCTATTCCTACTACAAATCCCAAGACTGCACAGACGACTCCAAACCCGACCTTCGTGCCGTCATCTCTGAATATATCTGGTGCATTCACGTCTGCTCCTGCTGCAGAGCCCGCACCGACGACTGCGACGTCGCCGTTCTCCAAGCCCTTCACTTTCAATGCACCTAATGCTACGAAGTTACCGACTTTTAACGCCTCTGACTTTGATCCTTCGTCCTTCGATATCACAAACTTCAATCCCCCGGAACCTGATCCCTCGGCGCTTGATAAAGATGACGGATCAGCAGCAATTCCGTTTTATAAGCCTCCATTTACTTCCAAGCTTACGCCAAGCAATGGCGTGGATAATAACACCGCCCACCCAAAGTCTACTCCAAGGCCGCCATCATCCCTTTATCATCAATACAATGAAGTTGATATGAATCATGGTGGGTCTCACACGTCGGACTCTCTGGAAAAAGACGAAGATGAATTTGAAAAGGCGGTTAGGTCTGCATTTGAAGTTGAGCATGAGGATGTTGTTCAGAAACAGAAAGACGAGGAGGCAATGGACGGAACCGAGGGTGGCCAACAGAAGGACGAGGGTGAAATGGAAGAAACAAAAGACGATGATAATAATAGTAACGTGGGTGGTCACTCGGAGGACCAACATGGTAACGGTAATTCTCAATACTCTAGCTCTAATCACTCAAGCGACGAAGACTCTAGCAAAACAACTGTACGACCAAAAACGGCCATGGTTGAACTGGACAGTGGACATTTCGTACGGAATCCGGACTATTGGAGGCACAAGAAGTCAGGAATCAAAAAGCTGGCAACCAAGTATGGATATGGCAGGAAGAGCTGGCGCGAAGTTCCGATACGAGCATATAAAAGATACGGCAACTCTCCAGCGCTTCTTCATGACCATCTTGACGACATTGGCATGCAGTGGTTCAATGAAACGTACTTTGGAGCCGAAGTATCAGACTGGGAAGAGGATGGATGTTATCTAGCTGACGACATGGAAACTGATGAAGTGACTGATGACTCTGACACAGGCTCGTATTCTTCACTCTTTTCCGACCGCTCTAAAGACTATGACACCCTCAATTCACGAGTGCAGGTCAACGAGACGAATAACGAGACTCAAAGACCCAATTCCACAGAGGTCATCTCTGATTCAGACTCCGACGAGGAGGAGAACTGGAAAAAGGCGCCGTCGGAACCTTCCAGCTCACCAAAGCCAGAGACTTTGGCGAGCGTTGAGGGTGCACCAACAGTTCCAGCACCTGTCTCTAATCCGAATACCCCTACCAGTCAGCCATCTTCTGTTCCAAATCCGTATGATTTTTCCAGTGCTGCAGACAAGAGACAAGCTGAACATCACTTTGGTTTTTCCAGTGGACCTGTCCCACAAACAAGTCAAGAAGTCGAACAAGATGAAAGTCTTCCAGAGAACCCAGGCCTTCCGGGACATGTATATGACGATGCTTTAGAAGCTGGTTGCAAAACAAGTGCAGAAATCTTCAAATATTGGACAGAGAATTATGAAACAGAAAAGAAATTCCGTCCAAAGGTCGCCCAGCCAAAAAGAAGAAGGAATGTCCAGCTTCAGAACATGGCGCCAGTTGTAGTCCCAGAAGCTCAGCCGCTAGCACCAGAACGCCGTTATCGACGAGAAGTTAGGGTCTTACATGGTTACTCAGTATACTACGATGGCGCCTGTTTTCCACGCGAAATCTTCGAGGACAGTACTGTTGGACCCAGTAGATACTTCAAAAACGGTTACGACGAGATCATCGAGCTTAGAGGGGGAACACCTTACTATATAGACACGGAGACCTGCACGGACAAGCGGTACCACGATGACAAGAATGGAATTGAGGTTGATTGGGAGAAGGGTGAGGATCCAGAACCTGTTGATGATGACAATTAATAGATGAGTGGCTGTGTGGGATCTGTATTCTCTACAGTACCGCGGTATACATCCATACTTTACCCAACCGGAAAATGAGTGATTGCTCATTCTGGATATAACTTTCCCAAGCTTTTCCGAACCTATCATCTTGGATACGTGGCATGAGAGGTGGCTTCTTGAGTTTGGTTGAGTTTGGTGGGGGCGTTCAGTCTTGGATCAGGGTCGTAACTGTAATCGATTTCCTAGTAGCGACTTTTTAAATTAAGGGTTTGCTTTCTTTGTAATTTGGTGCTATTATGACATTATATCACCCACTTATTTTTCCTCCAGACTCTTTTTTGTTGCAATGTGATTGCCTGACTGCGATACCATTACCTTAATGACCCAATGTTTTATCGGAATCTCACCTATTCCTCTGTAATCATGCTATGCTTCCTAGACCTATTCTCGCACCTAAAAGACTTCAAACGATTACATCAGCATAGCAGATTCGCGATTGAAGAGGACCCCTACTCTAAACCTCCGGTTAGAGCCTGAACCTTCCACAGTATATAAAGCATCCCATCTACTTTCTTTTTTCTAGTATCTTCGAATTTCCAAGCCAAAACACAAAGGAAACCTCGTCAATAAGGAAAGCCCCTGTATCTCCAAGTCTCGAAGTCAAATACGGCACCCAACCCGCTACTAAGGTGTCCCGCTCTATGACCTATCTCACCATGCGTCTTACCATCATCCCTCTGCTCTTTGCAGCCTTCGCCTGTGTCGAATTCGCCAACGCCTATGACCCCCTCCATGGAACCCCTGAAGACCCCTACACGGACGGCATTAGATTTGACTGGCCCACTCAGGATGAGTGCTATGTTTGCCTTGATACATACAAATCATGCGTAGCCGTAAGTTTCCTACTTTCTCAACTAAATGAA